TATGAGCTCAGTGCACTCTTTTAATAAGCAATTTAGGCCACAAAACACATCGCAAGATATGGTCCCTTGCATACTTTTCCAATGTGGCAAAGTAGAAGGAATAAGCCAAAAAAATTCCCTCAAAGACTTGCTGTCTTTAAAAGGTCTTCTGTATTAAGTGTATTTAGGAAATCAAATCCCCCTTAATAGACACTCCTGCGTGCATCACGCAGTTTTTCTAGGGCATAGCCTTATCCGTTACACAGCGGCGTAATCCAACGGATCGGTGGTAGAACCGGTGCATTATTGATGAATGAACGTATTCGTTGGAACTTAAGGACACAGCCGTGGCAATCATCAACATGCGAGTACACGTCTCTGCGCGGTTGTCAGCTGTAACGAACAGACGAATTTATAAACGTGTCAATCAAGAAGTGAAGAAGTTTGGTGGTTCTTCGTGGTAAATTTGGCTGCGTCAGGCGTATTACACATTCGAGGCTACTTCCCAGACGACCTACTCCAAGTTTACTTTTTCTTCCCCAACGTAAATATGCAGAAGTTTTGTCTGGAAAATGCTGAAAAGAACTCACGTATTTTACGTATTTTGTTTTCTCTCCTCTTTTTCCCTTCTTCATATTCATATTGAAACAACTTTTCCAATAACCCGAGTTTCTTACATCCGATATTAATACCAAATATCCACTACCTACTTGTACACTGGTTCCATAGCCATAGCTATATGAGGAAATGTTATTTAATATGCTTTGCATCTAGTAATCTAATTTCTAAAATGTCTGAAATCTGCAAAATTGGTTCAAAAGTTAGGAGTGACATAAGGAGAAGTCAGATGAAGTTAAGATGAGCAGGTAGATAATTGAACAGAATTAGCGTCACAAAGTTGAGGTAAAGAACGGAAGTTGGACAAATCCTCAACTTTTCTTCAGCCGGAAGTAATACATTATTTACACCTCCAAATGCACTTAACGGACCCTGCACAGAAGTCTACAGTATGAGGATGCTCATTCAGGCCGCGGTACTCCTTTTTTTTAGGTTTAAAATCGCACAACTGTCAACAAAAGATTGTAGGCGATATCGCACAAGTATTTGTCAGTTGTTCTATATCTTGGAACTCGTTAAAATTTTCAAAAAATGCTCTTTTAGATCACTTTTTTTTTTTTTTTTGATCATTCTTACCGTGAAAGAATCCTTCAAGTAGCAAAGAAGTGAATATATCATCCCTCTGAAAAGCCTCAATAACCTTCGACCTAGAGGGATGAGCCCATTTCAAGAGCGCGTTCTTCTTTAGCGAGGAAAAATACTGGATTTCAGTGGCGTGGCGTGCTGTGCGATATATCGATTGATCCGCTATGTAAACCTATGAAAAAAGATCAATAAACAGGGTGCTTGCAACAAACACCTTTTAATGATCGATTCTTTACCGTAACCTCAAATGGGAAAATATCGATGATCGATCATTCACGCCTCACCACCGACTGGATTTTATTCTTGGAAAAAAGCCTACGGGCGCGCGGGCATTTGGCCACGAAAATTTTCGAAGGGAATCTCTCTCACGCTGAGTAAAAACGTCGTGTGAACTTTCAGATGTTGCCAAAGCAACATCCTTTGATAAAGCAAACTTGCGGATATTTTCCCTCTACTTTTACTAGGAATTTTATTCGTAATTTGATCGAATTTGTCTGAAACTTTCAGGGGAATATATTCATCGCTCTCTTCTAAAATATACATATTATTCGAGGAAACTTGGTAATATTCGAGTGGTTTTACTGCGTTTCTCTTTAGCACGGCAAATCTGTTCGCACCAGTGGCGTGGCGTGAATAATCGATTATCGATATCTCGCCATTTAAAGTTATAGTAAAGAATCGATTACTAAGGTGTTCGCTGCGAACACCCTGATAATCGATCTTCATAGGTTTAAATGGCATAACAATCGATTTATCGCAATTCACGCCACGCCACTGGTTCGCACGCGTCCTGCGGGGCCGGAACCCGCATTTGGCAACGCTTAAACATCAGGCTCATCCGACCCAGCCCAAGAAATCAAATCCCTTAATAGATCCATGCTTAAAATAAATGACCTACTTCTGATTAACGCTGTCAAATTATTTTCCTTGTATCATCATAAACTTTTAGCTCCTTTCCCACCTCTGTTGGAATTATTTACAGAATAATGATAATGGGACGATGCAATGCTACCTTCTCGTAGATTTATTTATTTTTTATTTTATTTTGTTTTTTTGTGGCCTCTTTGTAAAATGATGATGATGAGTTGATTACATCGTTAAGTAGCGTTTTTTATTAAAAAGGTTCTTAACTGTCGATCAAATCTTTCAATGGAACACTAGTCAGGTACGAATCCAAGCATTCCGATGTATGTTTGAATGTTTCTTTTTCAATTTTCACGGTTTGCAGAACGAAAATTACTGACATAAACTCCAAACCAAGATAAAACGCTTTTACTTAACATTTGTGACGAAAAATCTGAATCCTGCGCCGTCCGCAGCGCGCATGGCGCACGACCCGCTTTTCATTATTACACTTCATCTAGAGTTGAGAGTTCAATTATTACTTCACACGACCAGTGTGTAATTTTAAAAGTCGAAAATTTGAAGGAAAACAAAGGAAAATTACACGATTCACCAGTCTCTCCGCCAGGGAGCTCTCCTCGCAAGGAAGCTTTCCCTACCCGCCCGCTGGGAGAGTCGTGGCGTGCTGTTAGCTCGAAACGCGCACTGACGCCTACAAACCTAAAGGGCTACTTCACGCATTGAGCAATGCTTGGAGTATCTCCTTGGGTTTGTAAGGGGCTACTGCACGCAGTGCGCAATACTTGAAGTATCCCCTTAGGTTTGTAGGCGTCAGTGCGCATTTCGAGCTGGCAGCACGCCGCGCCGAAGCGTGCCATAAACTTTCCCACAATTAATAGGCCAGGGTGTCGAAGTCTTGGGGCTTTGACTTCAAATTCGAAATTAGCGACTCAAAAAGCATGGATATAACGAAACTTTTGTAATCTTTCAGTCATTATCCGACTTATTTCTTCCTAAATTTGAGTTTTGGACCATTGAACCGCGCGGCGGCGTTATGAAATTCTCCCTTGTGATCAATCAAAGTTTGAACATCGTGTAACAGCTGAGCCGAAGCGCCGAGATTGACGTTGTCATATTTCCATCCCGAAAAGACTGTCGCGATAACTTCCAATGTGCGAATTGACTCACGCTCTCTTCTTGTTTTTTCGTAAGCGGGACTTTAAAATGTATGCTTCGAAAAACATCAGATAGATAGTTAGTTAGCAGTTGATTTTAGCAATTTTCATTGCGCAAAACTTGTTTCACGTTCAAAATTGTAAAAGGGACACATGTATCATAATGCTTAAATTCTAGCTCAATGTCTAGCGGTCCGCTTTTCTACTTTTTTATGCATATATTTCGCATACTTCATGCGAGCAGCGGGAAAGCGAAATAATTGAATCAAGGTAAAAAACCGAGTTTCAAGTGGTGTCGGAGAAGAATAATTAATAACAGAGCGGGCACCGACGCAAAAGGCGAAACTTATTACAAAGTGATGACATGGTCGGGCAGTCTTCCTTCAACGTTGTCGGCTCCCCGCGCGCATGAAGGGGGCATCCTTCCCCGCGGCATTGCTCCATGTGGGAAATTAAACGAATCCCTCGGAAATCAGCAACTTCCCTCCGCCCGAGGGACAGGTGAAATTCGAGCCAACGCTCTCGCCTCGGGATGTCGTGGGATCAAGCTACCCCGTAAAGTTTGAACGAAGCTTACAGGGTCAGGGGGTGGGGAGCACATTTGCATGGGCGAGCGGGGGCTGGGGCTNGGGGGGGGGGGGGGGGTTATCTCAGTCTCAACTCCGTTGATGGAGTGCCGATGATTACCCGAAGCCGACACTCGCGTGTTGGCACTCATCACGGAAACAGAGGTCGCGACAACCGGTGCTCCTGTAACCATGGAAACGCGCATTAGGCCAATTCGCATTTCCACCGTGGGAACCCGCGTTTTATGACGCCGCCGAACCTGGTTTCAAACGTAGGAGACACCTTGCTACCACTTACGCCAGGAGGGCATTGTTTCAAGATCCTTGGATTTTTTGACCGTCGGGATAGTGGCATTCTTGATTGTTGCATTGGTCACAGGCCAATTCAACAGCCTTTTTCCACAAGATGTAGGCTACACTGGAAAAAAAACACATTGGATCAAGAGTCCAGACTCTTAAAAACATCGACAAGAAAAAGTACTCTTGATTCAATCGGATTTTTGCTTATATCAAGAACCAATCCTCTTAATTTGAGCGGATTTCCCTTTGATTAAAGCTTGAATCTGATTGAATCAGGAGTATTTTTTCTTGTCAATGTTTTCAAGAGTCTGCACTCTAGATCCAATGTGTTTTTTTTCCAGTGTAGTTTTTAACCATGGTCTAGAAAATGATTGTTATGTAAGGCCTGAATGAACTAATCAAAGCAGTGTTGCCAGTTTTTTAAGATGAAACGAAGATATCATGCTCTGAAATTTCTTCGTTTTGCCTGAAAGAAACCTAGAAATTAGCAAAATCGTTTTTGAAAACACCATTTTGAACTTATGTAGCCACTTTGCATTTCCCTAAGATATAGCAATAATTTGCCTGCCGGGCAAGAATAGAGCTGCGCCAACATTATATTGAAGACCTTAATATTTTGGTATTCAAAACCGATAATTTAGAAACTGTGCAGATTTCAACAAAATGCAGCCTTAGGCCAAAATACCACCCGAGTTTGCTTCGCTGTAATATTTCATCTGAGCAAAATTCCATTGACCTGCTCCATTCTCAAGAGAAAGGGATGATTTTTACGGATATTTAATTATCTGTTAATCAGAGAACTGCCGGTTTTCAATTAAGCGGAGAATGTTGTCCTTCGTTTGCTGTACTTTGATCCTGTGTACAGTGATATATTCCTGGAAAAGCATGGTCTTTTCGAAAAATTAATATGTATTTTGTTTTTGTTTTGTTTCAGAGTGAGAGTTGAATATTACGTTAATGAAAATACATTTAAAGAGAGGCTGCAACTTTACTTCGTGAAAAATCAAAGATCGAGTAAGTATTATCTCACTCTTACTTTCACCAATAAATTAATCACAGTTTCATTTGTTTTTTTGCCCTCTCGTCAAGCAGATCCATAGACCAGAGAAAATCTTTGTTTTACGCAAACGGAAAAAAGAGGCAGGATTTAAGACCCAACTTGGGCATTTCCAAATGAGTGTGGTACCTTGTAGCCCAATAAATTAGGTTACTAACCCGAATGTCGCGGTACGACCACAATTAATTAAAAATGCCCATACTTTATCTCCGGAATTTTTTTTTTCATGTTGTATTTTAGCATTATATGCATTGGCAATATTCACTATGGGTTAAATCCAGAATTTTCAACACGAAAGCACAAGGACAAGGATTTGTTTAAGCCCCCAAAAGCAACACTTCGCCTGTATACATTTTCAAGGCGAAAATTGTGATCGAAGCCACACATGTTGCCTGACAACAATGGCGTCCATGGGGCGTTTTGGTTGATCTGAATGCAGCACAATATTTACTCTTCATAATTGCACTGAGGCGAGATCTCCAAAATAGCGGTCAGGGTCGGTCGCAAAAGTACCTGAAGATATTTGGACTGAATTGTGCAATTTGGAACTACAATTTCTGGCTCAGTTTAGAGACAACGTATGTATGATTAGTTTTCCTTTGCACTTATATTTTAACAGAATAGCCAGAAATTGTAGTTCCTAATCGCAATATTGAATCCATCTCATTACCTGTGGTTCAGATACCTTTACCTCTACCTGACGGTAATAATGTGCCAGCTGCTGACGCTGCTGGGTGAGAATTCTGAAATGTTGATGATCTTTGCTTCCGATTTGCTTACTACACAGCATTTCATAAATCCAAGTTTGCAATCATGCATCATTACATTTTGTCGTTGTGAATTGCGTTGCGTGCTATTTCGTTGTGTCTCTTATCACATGTTAATCATGAGGAATAAGTGCCTTTTTGCTTGCTTGTTTTTCAGGTTTACGGATTCGAATAGCAAATCTTCTTTTCAAGCTTGTAACATGTTTCTTATACATATGTCGAGTAACGACAGATCGCGACCCTACGTATGCAGCATGGTAAGAAAACAATGCAATTAGTGTTTCTGATCGTAATCCATGCTCACCTATTTTCACCTCACGAATCGTCGATCCTCTGACGTAAGGGCGTATCTCGATTCCCACATGAGCCCCAGAAAGCGTGGATTCATATGTAAAACAGGGCTCACGTGGAAATCAAGATAGGCCCTAGCCCTTACGTTAGAGGGGCGACGAAATCTCTTCACCGTTATCAAAATCCGCACGAAGAGGGGATCCGTCTATACTGCAGGATTCAGCTGCGGTTTTCCTATAAACGGTAGATAAAGATGCCTTTCATCTTCTTCTTGGCACAAAGCGTCGCAAGGGTGTTGGAAGAAAGGCAAAAGGCGAGGGATATTCTCCGAATCTCCGAACAACCGAGATATTCAATTGAAAGAGGGAGCATGAAAGGAAAGAAATATGATACATGGGTGTGTGCGTTGCGCCTGCTTTTGACACTGGTAGCGACTCAAAGTGAAGCGAGTTTCACACAAAGCTGAAAAAATATCAAAACATTGTTTATTCTCGCAACACCAGTGTTTAATAAATGATACGGCTCTACGATTGGCAAAAAATTCTACGAGTAATCTGCGCTATTGCAAGCTTCCCGTTTTGAGAATTGTAGCATGAACCAGTGCAACGTCTGGAAACAACTTTTTTTTCTCTTTTTCTCTAAAAACGGCTGTATTGAAGTTCAATGAATTATTGAAAAGGAATTTTACGCAGTGTATCTGTATTTGTTGTTACTTACACATCGTGTGCTTCTGATACTGAAAACTCATTCACAAGTTGAATCCCATGTTTATATTTGCTAGAATTATGGCGGCCAGCCGCGCGTAGCACGAATCAGCGCTTCCCTCTTGCAATAGCCCGCGCTGATTGGTGCTACGTGTGGATGGCCTCCTCTGCCATGCACTGGCAGAGATGGCGCGCCAATCCGCGACAAGCTAAGAGGCGCTAGGCGCTGATTGGTCGGGGTGCGATAAGCAGAAAAGCTGCGTGAGCTAAAAGCCACAGCAGTATCGTTTTCAAGCTTTAAATTTTCCGAGGTTAAAATTTATTTGAGCGCAACATATAGATTGTAGTGTTTTGAATGTGTAACGATTTAAATGTTTCGTTGGATTTTTAGTCCAGTAACTATGAGAAGAATGACACGTTCAGAATCGCGCTGGGCTGAAACAACTAGACTATTGAATTTTAAATTTCCATCTCTTTTTTACGTTTTGATGACAAATCATCAATTTCCAGAAAGAAAACTCATGTAATACACGTATATCTCAATAGTTTCGTAGGGGGAGTTTCAACCGTATATTTGGAAGGAGACTACATCAACGACATACAGAAAGCAGATTCTCGGCATTGACCGACAAAAAAGGATGTTCGATTATAGTATCAGCACAGCTCAATCCAGTCACAAGAAAAGGAAAAAGGGAAAAAACAAACAGATTACCGTGAAAATGAAGATTACTAAGGGAAGAAAAAAGTATGCTTGAACCAGACTTTTGGCTTAAGGTGGATTCTTAGCGTTGGCACAATTAATCTGGTGCACGTCGATATGTTTTTCAAATTCAATTTCGCAGGGGAACTATTTTGGAAAGATCGAAATATCAGCCTCTGGATCAATCATGGAGCGAAGCATTCACTCCCCGATTATTTTCCGGAAATCTTAACATATGATCAAAAGCACTGATTCAATATTAACCGCTAGTATCCCTGTATACGATTTTCGGTCGACTCACGGGTTTTGTCGATCGATTCACGGGTTGAAACAACTTATAAGCCGCTTGCCGGCGATAGCTAATTGTCTGCGACTAATACATCACAATTGGTTTGAAATTGGAAACGGAGCTTTTGAACCTATTGTGTTAAGGCTTTAAAGGCTGGTGCTTTGCATGGCCCTTTTTCGATGATTGGCTTATAGGTTGATATTTCGGTTTTTCAAAAAAGTACACGTGATGGCCAAAATCTCTATCCAAGCGGTAGAAAGACGCAGGAATAAAATCCGACGATTTACATCGATTCAAAACGATTTACTCTCTTGTAACGTGCAGTGGGAATTACAACACGGAAAAAAATAGGGTAGTCGACACAACCGGCAGCTAGTTAAAAATGCGCTAGCTACCGTGCGATAGTTACGATAACTACCGCGGTGGAGGTCACAACTAACCCGGTAGTTACATCAACATCCATGGTTGTTGGAGACACTACCGGGTTAGTTGTGACTTCCACCGCGGTAGTCCTCGTAACTACCGCACGGTAGCTGGCGCATTTTTAACTAGCCGCTGGTTGTGTCGACTACCCTATTTTTTCCGTGAAACCACCTTTGGTATCATAGGTTATCGGATAATTTTTTGATGATACCCTTATCCATTCTCTGTGCACAGTTACGGTTGCACACCCGGGAACAAAACCGAGTTCCTCATATCACACAATTTGACAGAGGAAGAGTTCCAGGAGCGTCCGATCATCAACTGGGAGGCCATCCTCTGGGTCAAGCGTCCCGGCGAGCTGTGGATAGTCCAAGTGTTCCTTGCTTTTATATCCTTAGTTGAGACCATCATCCTAGCTTATCTCGGTTATAAGGTACGACATTTTACCACTGTATTTCATTGTCATCATGGAACCAGGTCAGTTCTATATCAATTAAGATGCTCTTTGGAATTTCCCGATTTGGCGATGAATTTCGCTGATTTGATGTTTCTCTCATTTTCAAACGTTTCCCCGAGTTTCGCCCCCCTCCCCCCCCCATCTGCTTATAAGATCAGTGTAATCGGATTGGGGGAACGACAGAGTGGGACAAGCAAATCGGGGGAATATTTTGGCAACTTGGGTTCTTTCAGGATATTAAATAAAAACCGCAAGGTTTAATGACTCATTCGAACCAGTTTATAGACGGTGAAACTACCAGACCAGGTATCTCGGTTTGCGACGTTGTAGACTTCCTGTCATAATTGATTTTTTAAATGGAAGCGACTCAACGTCAATTCTTCGAAATTTCCGTGTTCTTTCTTCTCTGTGCAAAGAAAACTCTGTGACATTTTTTTACGAAATGATATTGATTTGTTCTCCTTTAATATAAAACAAAATAGGGGCAGAGATTTTTAAACACCGCAAACGAGGTATGTGGTCCGGGAGTTTTACCGTCGGTATGTGTAGCAGAATGTAATGGAAGGATGTGTAAGAAAATGTGAGGCATTTGAATCAACAATTCTGAAGGAGACGCCAATGAAGGACACTACCTTGTGATGAGTTGTTGGATGCAGAAACAAAGGAAAGGGGGTTGGGATCCATGGATGCGTTTGTGATGGCTCCCGGCCGGGGTGACGGGACAAAATATAGCCGTCTCCCTCATCAGCCGTGACATTGATTGATTGATTGGTTGACTGGTAAATCAATTGAGCGACTGCTCAGTTGCCTGCTTCATGCAAATCTTTGTTCTGATTTAAGTACACCAACTGTTTCAGTTTTGCTTCAACTCCCGCGCTAAGTGAAAACGCCGTATGAGCCTTCAGGCGTCGCGGAATTTCCTTTGAAAAAACACACATTATTGAAAAAATTTGCAAGTATTTTTCTTTAAACTTTTCAGAAATATTTCCTCGTAATTTGATTTAAAATGTCTGAAAATTTCAAGGAAATATATGTTAACTTCTTCTAAAACATACATTCTATGAAAGGAAACTTGGCAACATTTGAATGCTCTTACGACGTTTTTCCTTGGTGCGGTAGTCTAGGTACAGAATGTACTGCGTTGATCATTTTCTGATTTATCTTACCCTTCTCTAGTGTGGATAGTTGGAATGAATAATACTTCAGGGTAGGTCTCAGCCGATGTCCCAAGAATTCTATTACATTTTCATCCAAGAAATCTGTCTTCTTTCCAAGCATTCCAAATTCATTTTAATTCATCTCATAAATGCGAGTGGTCCTCGACCTTTTTGAGACCCTTCGATTTTAACCTTTGTTTTCATGTTACAGGGTAATGTATGGCAGCTGCTGCTATCCTTCCATTTTATTTTAGAGCTGGTAAATACTGTGCCGTTCATGTTCACAGTAAGTATCCATAATAAATTATTCTGCGCCATTATTTAATACAAATCAAATCAATCTTTAATCGAATGGAAAAACACTCATTAGTTCCACCATACATTAGCCTCAAAATCAGCGTAGACTCCTCCATTGTATAATACGAAGTTTCTATATTTTCATATTTCTTGCAAGAATGGATGCTGAGCAAGTGTCTCGCGCGTTTTGGTATTATTCAAAAATTGTTCAAGATAAAAAAGTATCGAAGATAATCACAGATCCACCATTCCATCAGCCTTAATTTGTGTTCAAGTTCAATACAAGGGGAAAACGAGACGCCTAAAGCGTCAATTTTCCTGCCCTTGTATTGGTGCGGTATCTGCGATAACGCAAGTGATTGTTATTATCGTTCCCGAAACTTCTGACTAAATATATCTTTACCTTCATGAAGTTCACTGGGCTAACAGAATCGCTCGAAACGCATTAAATGCTGTTTATTATGAATAAAAAATGTCGCTTCATTCTCTAACGGAGTACATAATATGCGGCAATAACCGGATGCGGGAATACTGTTCCTTTGAAGTTCGCCTTCAATGTTGCAGCTAGGCAACAAACCTACAGGATGCGTATTCAGCAAATACGTCAGGCAAGCAGCAATCGCCGGCAAATTACAAGCCAGTGGTAAATAAATGGAATAGCATTAAATTCAAAACTGAAGTAACAATATTCGAGTGGTGATTATGTTGCCTTAAGTGTGCATAGACACTTTTTTCCTCTCGAAAACAGCGTAAAAACAGGCACACTCAGGGGAACGCGTAGCGAACTCTGTGATATCAGTTGGGTTTGAATCGGAGAGGCAACTAAACTAACTTCGTGACAACGCGTAGAGTACCAGAAAAACTGAAGGCGCTGCAAGCCGAGATCATGCTTTTGAAGGACATAGTTCTTAAACTTTCATTATGCTGATGCGCATTATAGCGATTTATCGGAACTGCGTGGGAACCGCTTGCCAAAACTGCTGTGATAGGGAAGAGAGCGGTAAGAGCATTCCTGTGATCGAGCCGTGATTAGCACATGCTTTCGTGTGTCTCGAGGTTCATCCCAGGATGCACTTACTGTTCTCTTCGCTATCGCGGTAGAAATGCCGTCGATTGCTAATTGCATTTGACATTGCATGTATGGATGACAGTGTAACACTGTCGCTTCGTAATTTCATTCAACCGTGACGTGTGAGGTTGTTGGTCTATCTTGTTGTCGTAAATTTGCCTTCGATTCCACTCGCACAAAGCCTACCCGGAAACATGAATGGTTATGTATTCGTAAACTGACCATATTCGTATGTATCTATTCTTTTGAAGACACCGTCATTCCATTTTATACTTTGAATGAACCACAAAAGGCATATCGACGGTGAAACTACCAAACCACGTATCTCGTTTGCGGCGTTTAAAAATCTACGCTCGTATTTTATTTTTTTGAAGTAGACCAAATTAATATCATTCCTTGAAATTTTCACGGAATTTTCTCCGCACAAAGAGGAAAAATTACAGAAATTTTCAAGACTGGACGTTAAGTAGTTTTTCATTTAAAAAATAAAGTATGACAGGAAGTCTGCGACGTCGCAAACCGAGATACGTGGTTTGGTAGTTTCACCGTCGATATGTACTATTATCTGTGAGTATAGTGTATCTATAGTCCTTTCTCTCTTGCATCCGAAATGCAAGAATCACACCACACCCATCCAAGCATCGCGGATGCCTGTGTGTTGGACGGGTGCTGATTTGTTTTCAGTTTTCCTTTAACCATCATTTTGAGTAATCTCAGCAATCAGTAACATCTCAACGTTCGTATTAATCCTTTCGTAGGCAAACAGCTCAAGGAAGCACTGTCTTTTTCTACATACATAAAAGTCACTTTCACAGCGCTCTCTGGCGATCTGCGACGCATATCCACCAAAAAACTCAGTCCCCCCAACACCCGAGGGGGAATTGGCAGTTGGCCCTTCCTGCCTTTTTTCAAAGGCGAAAAACAATTTATAGAAGATTCTTAATGGGATGATCATAAAAAGTCGAGAGCGTTTTATTACATGATGCAGAACTAATTCAGTGGAGAGGCGTGAATGATCAATTATCGACATTTCCTCACTTGAAACTATGGTGAAGAATCGATTATTAAGGTGTTCGTTGCGAACACCCTGTAAATCGATCCTTTTTTATAGTTTTAAATGGTAGATCAATCGATGTATCGTAAATCACGCCACGCCACTGAACTAATTGTAAGTAAAGAGCTTACGACACGGCTGTATGCAGGAGGGTCACCTTACAATGGTGGCGGCGTTGAAAATGTGTTATTAGTGTGAATTCATGCATGTATTTTCTATGTATAAAAGTAGTATCTCATGCGTGAATTCCCGCTAGTTTTGAAACTTTTTTTCATCACTGTTATCGAGCCCTTCGAGGTAACGGAAAAAGTATCGACGCGCAATGGGGCGGTGGCGCGGAAAAATCGGCGCCCTGCGAGTTTAATCAGTCCGATTTTAATAAACCGTGGACCTCAATAGGCTTTCTTTCTCGATAGTTTTTGAATAATATCAAATCGCGCTCAGAGATGGAAAGTGAAATTTCTATAGGCTCAAATAAATTTCACAAAATTTGAAATTTGTTGATTTTTATCGGAATAATTGATGGAACAGTTTTAGTCCAAAATCCTCAATGTCCTCGTCATACATATTTTGTATATTACGACAGCCAGTAAAATAAATAATGCAATCGTTAAATTCTTCAAAACTATTCATTCATTGAGTCATCGATTCCGTGAGTTTTGAAATGCATCTCAATAGGTCTCCACGATTTTGATCCATCGGAAATTGTTCATGCAACAGTTTAAAGCTCATCGGCTCTCTTCTTGCGGGCTTTCTGCACCTACATTTGAGTATTTGAAAGACTGATAATTTATTTTCTTATTTTTTACAGATCATTTGGTCGCCTTTACGACACTTATTTATACCTGTTTTTTTAAATTGCTGGCTGGCCAAAAAGTCTTTAGAAAATATGTTTGTAAGTATTCCTCCGTTTTATTTATTTCCGTCTTCATTTTAAATTGTACAGTTTTCAATTTTCCACCATTTCAATGTTTTATCATACCCTCATGTGTTTTTTATGTGATGACTTTTTCTTGAAGTATTAAGTAACGTCAAAATAAAAAAAATTGTATGTAGCAAAATTTATTAACTTCGCGCTTGAATATTCACGACAAATTTTAAACATCTAAATAATCGACCTTTTGTATTCTTTTACGTTTAAGAACCTCTATTTTTCGCACACTCTTTCGTAGACCATTAAGAATTATATCCACACAAATTATAAAAGCTTTTAATTTGTTTTAACGTCTGACGAATTATTAAAGGGATGCGTGCGTTTCGAATATTTTTCCTCTTTTTTTTTGTGTGTATGTGTGCCGCACTGGCTGGTTTTAAAATCACTAGGTGGTTTTAAAATATGCGTTTCAAATGATGGGTTTCATTTTAACGATGACTTTCTCTTGAGATAAAGTAGAGAAGTTTGTCTTAAAAAAATATCCTTTTATCGAGCAGCGACACCAAAATATGTGTCTGATAAAAGGACAGGGGCAAGTATAAGTCAACATGTAGCTGCGGTGGCCAGTGTGAGGAGCCGTTATTTGAATTTATAAGTGAACATTTCAATATACTGTCGCTCCTCTGAATGACGTAAGGGCGTATCTCAACATCCGCATGAACCCTGTCTCACATATAAATCCATGCTCTCTGTGGCTCATGTGAAATTAGAGATACGTCTTTACGGTGGAGGAACGACGATACAGTGGTGACAGTCCATCCGGATGACGTGGCACGGTCCGTTTTATAATCGCAACCACAAGTAAACGATTCAATTTTTTTTCAAAACGCTCTAAGTCCAGTCTCAGATGAATCTCAGTTCGCGTGTATTTTTATACACCGTAGGGCTCATGCCAAAACGAACCTTGCTTTATTGCTAACAACCGCTTGAAATAGTGATCGACTCGCTTTGATGAGTTGACCTGTTTATTTTGCGTCCGTCCGATTTCTTTTATTTACTTGATCCCTTTTTTTCGTCCGGGGATGAATGTATTTCAACATAACGCTCGAATAATCTGCCGCTCCGTAAAAATAACCGCGAGGAGAGTGGAAGAGGCTGGCCGCACACCAAGTGACGGCAGTGACGTGGAGTCTGTTGCGATACATCGATCGCTCTACCATTTAAACCTGTGGAAAAGAATCGATAAACAGGGTATTCGCGACGACCATCTTAAAGATCGATTCGTTACCATAGCTTTAAACGGGGAAATATCGAAGATCGATCGTTCGCGCCTTGCCACTGAGTGACGGGTGCTCGGGGGATTTTGGCGGTGGTTGCCGAGGAAAATTGAAATTGACGCTCTACATTCCGGCTGGAACGATGTCATGTGGACTCGAGAAATAAAAATAAATAAGTGGGAATACGGAATGCATCCTCCCTTGTACGCAGTGAAATTCTCTTGATGCGTAACTCATTACGCGTATTTATTACCTTGAGTGCTGTGGGTTCGTGTAAGTTTATGGATCGTATTCGATACGTCAAACAGGTGAGATTGTATCGATGTCGATTGGTTCAACATGTAAACGTAGCCTCAAAAGTCATTTGAGTAATTTGAGGGAACTAGTTTTTGGTGATAGATTTTTTATTCTCATGAGTACACAGCGTCAACGAAAAGTGAAATTGTTATGAACCTTCTCAGTTTTACCAACTTGAATCCTAAAATATTTGTTTTTGGTTATGTTTTACTGTTTTGAACCAAACGATACATCGAACCACTATCGAATACGTCCATTGATGAGAATCACCATGCTCATCGCGGGAATATCGTGCTTGTTTTAGCGCAGGCGCAACATGCAACTATTTTAACTCAGCGGTAGAGTTTGCACCTACACGAAAAATTGAAGGGGCTCCGCCGAAGCGTGAGTTCGGTGAACGCGTGCTCACAGTAACTTTAACTGGTGACAAGTTTTATCAATTTCTATCCATTTTATACGTGTCTGATGCGGTAGTGGCTGAAGAATAAGGGCTTTTGCCCCACTCAAAGGAGGAAGAAGAAGAGGAGGAAATAGGGGACAGTAACTTTCATTGTGCGGACGTGATAGTATCACTGTGCTCAGCTCACTGCTCGTGAGCATCCTTTGTTAAGAAGAGAATTCGGGATGATAAAAAGATTTCCTTATTTTATACATCTATACTAAATTAAATTTTCCTTTTTGTGTGTGAGGGTGTGTGTGTGTATTAGAAATGACTTAATTAAACATGTCTAGTGTGGAACAAATGTAGCTGAGCGAAACAGACGATGAAAATAATTCTGAAAATTGGATGGAAAGTATTTTACTTGACTTCAATTGGACCGAGTTTAACAGAAAGGAACCAAGCCACATCAGCGATTGCCAAGTTTAACTGGGCAGTTACATTTTTTACGAGAGAACGGTTGTTCGGATTTCTTTGAAAATGTTAAGGAATTTGCTTCGCACCACGGAGAATTTTCACTGAAATTTGCACGAAAATCCACACAACCGTTTTCATGTAAAAAATTAAATTGCCCAATTGAATTGGGCAATAGCTGATGTGGCTTGGTTCCTTTCTGTTTAACGCGGTCCAATCTAACCAACTCCATATTGTGTTAAACCCACATACACGCAGAATTTTATCAGGATTTCTACTTGTTGAAAGAATTGAATTTTAAAATAGATTCTCAAAACGCAAGTCCCAAATTTCCAATGTCCGTGACGCTCTATATTGCGGCGTAGGTCCCTCTGCATGAGGTTTAGTTTTTAAAATGGAACATTGAAGGGAAGAAGGGATCCCTCTCGCGTGTCTTTATGATCTTTCTACATTTTCTGAGCCTTTAAGGCACTTTTAAGTGTTTGAATGTTGTTTTTATCACAAAAAAATTATTTCTTCATTGTACTGGACGAAAATCCACAGTTTTATTACCGTATACGTGAATTCTTTTGTGGCATTACGGACGCGTAACAGCAGGATACCTCGTCGTTCCCCGGACGAAAAAACGTAACTGCATTTCAACATTGCTGAATTTCCGCTCGCAAATGTATTATTACCGGGAAAATATTGAACAGTCCTAACTGAAAATTTCACTGAGTTTCCTTTTGATCTCAGGCAAAAATCAGTTAAATATGGGGCAGAAATTATTGCGCAGTCGCACTCCTGTAAACAAGTTGATTGATTGAGCCAATGTTGCAACTTTTGAATGGACGTTTCTTTGTCAGGGGGATGAATCGTGTTTTTCCCCCTGCAAGCGTTACCTCAAATTTAAGGAGAGCTCCCCATTAAAAATTTTTCAATTTTTAGCCCCTACGTTCTTTAGATCAAGTATAGTCTTAATTTTCTTTGACACTATTTGTTCTTCATTCTGACGATTAAAACGCTGTCAGCTGATATGTTAGTGAGTGTAGTGAAAAGCACCAACTCTTGGTTGTGAATTTTTCAATTTTACCCCTGAAAAGTCTACTATTTTAACACTCATGTACCTTTTTCTCGGGATCTGATCAAGATAATTCCATTTGTTTTGTAACATTCCTGGTTCTCAGTCACATATACAGACGAAAGCGTATTTTTTTTTCTCTTTATGTTGGCTTCTTCTTCTTGTCTCTTTATGTTTTTTTTCTTAATGAAAATATCAGAGGTTATTGAAGTCGAAAAAATTCATATTTTCCTCAAGAAATTCAAAAAACGGCCAAAATTATACTTCGAAATTATCACAAACCGGTCCCTCCATCCATATAGAAGGCTCCCACTTACAAAAAAATCGTTCAAATATCTTCAATGGCTCTTTAGAAAAAGGTACATGAAGTGACGAAGATGTACAGCCTTTAGAATACACTGGAAAAAAACACATTGGATCTAGAGTCCAGACTCTTGAAAACACTGACAAGAAAAAATATACTCTTGATTCGATCGGATTTTCGCTTGCATCAAAACGAAATCCGCTTAAATTAAGAGGCTTGGTTCTTGATTTAAGCTAGATTCTGATTGAATCAAGAGTGCTTTTTCTTGTCGATGTTTTTAAGATTCTGGACCCTTGATCCAATGTGTTTTTTACTCCAGTGTAGGAGAGGGAGCTTAATTCTTAATTCGATGGTTAGGTTGGGAGTTTGGGAAACTTTCGATGATTTTCAAGGAAGTTTGGCAGGGGTTAGGGGTTCCGGGACGTCAATTCACCTGACAGCCGGCAGCCGAACTGATGCCATAATCTTCGCTCGAGTGAGCCCAGGGCTCAAGATCCCGGAAAGCCGTGAGCCGTGAGCCGTGAGCTGGAAGCTGGGACTAGGCCCGGGACAGACGCGGTCCCGACACGGCCATGCAGATTTCCCGCGCTTAGCCCGCGCCTCGCCAACATCCCGGCTCCAGCCGCGGCGCACATTGGACCGAGTCAATAGGACCTATTTCTATCGAACGGAACTATGTGCATTATGACGTGAGCCCTGTTATGCACGTATGCTTATGGGTCTCAGGACTCATGTTTGAATGCACATAGTTCCGTTTGATAGAAATACGTCCAATAGGGAAGTCGGATAAAATCTGGACACTCTGAAAGCTTATATTTTTAAACATATCGACGGTGTAAGTCGGCAATCACAAAACTCGTTTGCGCTGTCTAAAAATCTCCGCCTCTATGTTATTTTTTTAAATGAGAACAAATTGACATCATTCCTTGAAATTTATGCAGAATTTTCTTCGCACAGAGAAGAAATATCACTTCAGTTTTAAAGAATTGCCGTTGAGTAGTTTTCAGTTTAAAAAATAAAGCATGACAGGAAGTCTGCGACGTTGCAAACCGAGTTATGTGATTGCCGACTTCCGCCGTCGATATGTATAACAAAGAAGCTTAGAAGTGGTTTCATTGGTATTTTCGTGAAATTTATTTTCAGAAACACCCTTTGAAACTGAATTTGTGACGAGATAAACATAAAAATTTGAAATTTTAGCCAAAAAGTTCATGTCCGACCTCCTCCATCATTTGGTTCCACTGTGCCGCGGCTCTCCTTCGGAGCAATTACACTTGGAGCTCCCGACTGACAGACATCCAAAACCTTTTAACAGCATCCGCAGCCAATCGCACCCCGGATGAAACGCTCCAGGAAGTGCGGCCCGCTTTTTAAGCATTTTACTCCCAATAACAAAACCAAGCCCTCGGATAAAAAATGTTTCCTCCGATCTGTCCATCTCGAGCAAGCCGCCTTTCACCGCATACAAAGCGCAGATCCTACCACGCTTCGACTCGTTGTATGTCAGACCAGTGACTCGTTAATGCCCGACTAACTCATGTTGCAATAACTTACGATTATATGGTACACTCAAAAAAAGATTTGACTCTGAGACCCATGAAAAAAGGCTCGGAGATCCATTATTTCTAACGAAAGTGACTTACCGTCTACAGTATGGCTTTCTGAGTCATACTTTATTGGTCGTGAACCTATAAGCATGGCTCCACGAACCATATTTTATGGCTCCATGATCCATAACTCGGCCGGCAAGTCACTTTTCCCATACTTGTTTTTTGAGTGTAAAATTATACCTTGCGTCGGAGTGTTGTGTCTGTTATCGATTTACTGATTTAAGGGCTCATCTCAAGGAAATGCAATGTTTTGTACACTCTGTCCATCTCGAAGCTAACCGTCTTTCACCGCGCACAAAGCGCAGATCCTACTACACTTCGACTCATTGTACATCAGACCAGTGACTTGTCAATGTAACTCATGTTGCAATAACTTACGATTACATGGTAAAATTATACCTATTGCGTCGGAGTGTTGTGTGTGTTATCGGTTTACTGATTGAAGGGGCTCCTCTCAAGGAAACCTTTTCCTGCCCGTTCGGTAATGATTTAATTTAGTAATGGTTTCGTTTTGTTACAGAATGACCTTCATCGAGCTATGCAAAAGTCGCAGTCGGCGCTCTCACAACAGCTCATGATTTTATCAGCAACCTTGTTCTGCCTCGTATTCACTAGGTGCGAATTTTTCTAGATTCTTCTTCTGATTCTTAAATGGTATATTTAAAACTCTCAACTAACTCGGTTTGCTGCGCCTCCTCTCATGCAAAATTCCATCCAAGAGACCCATGCGGAATTCATCTAAATTATAAAATCACAGAACCTCAAATTGACGTTCGACATACGTGAAGGCTATCCGCTTTCATTCTCAAAATGTTTCATGAGTTTTCCCCAACTATTTGGGATGATTCCTGAAGTTCGATGCACAATTATTTTAAGTAATATTATTCTTCGTAAAAAATACAGTAAGCGCCGGAGTTTCGAAGCATCGGAATCGAGGTACAATAACGGCTCGCCTGTACAAACCCCGTTAATTTGACAAAGCCCTTCATACATGTTACCACGAGTTGGATTGCATTTTGCAGAAAGGAACCAAGAGCATTCCAATGTCGCTAAGATTGTGCAAATTGTTTTACCCTGCAAACGTTAACTGATCATGTAACAAGTTTCATCTTTATTCCCGATAAACTATGAATAATAATTCAAGATGAAAATCACATCTGTAAATTTAAGTTTTTGCGTGATGCCAGTAATTGCATTGCAAAGAACATTGATAATGGCTTGTTTTTGCAAAATGCAATCCAGTTACACTGTTGATACGAAGCTAAGTTTTATTTCTATACTTTATAAATGATATTCATCTCACTGAAACCTGTGTATCTGTTTCAGTGTTTGTGGTATCCAGCATTTTCAGCGTGCTGGCCACAGGCATTTGAATCTATTCCAAGCCACATATTATGTAGTAGTCACATTTTCAACGGTTGGGTATGGCGATTTTGTGCCGGATATATGGCCGTCTCAGCTGTACATGGTTATAATGATATGCGTCGCCTTGATAGTGCTTCCAACTCAGGTCAGTATACTCACTGACACCAACACAATATAATTTGAAATTTAATATTGAGAAGAATCTAAATTTTCGTTTATACTCCTATTTTCAAAATTATCTGTAAAGACGTTAATAGCCTGAGTAGCTGAATGTCTTAAAATTATAATAACTAGCTAACTATCTAAACCCAGTTTTTTCATGATGAAACGGTACAAGTTGTGTTGATTTTTTCCCAAAAATCGATCAAAAAAAAATATCGATTTTTTCCAAAAAAATCGGTTATTCGCAGAAAAATCAAGGCCTAAACATCGATTTTCAGGAAAAGTATGATTTTCAAGTAAGATTTTCAGTCATTCGTTCGTTTTTCTCAAATTCTCGCCTCAATAGACGTTGAGTTTCATTGCCCCTTGAATTGAAGCAATACCAATGGTTTCCTTCAGTGTTAAATAATAATATAGGCCTATTGCTTCCTAAATTTTTGTTCGTAAACAATCGAAAAATTTCAATTTTTGAGTAAAACATCGATTCAGCAGCCACATTGTGTGCAAAAAATCGATCCAATTCTATCGATTATTTTGTGCAAAAAATCGATTTCTACCGAAAATCGAAATAAATAAACAACACCAGTCAGTGAAATAAAATTATCAACGAGAACGAAGAGCAGACGGCACATTAATTACAGAATCACGGCCTCTCTCTTCTCATAATATGTTGATTGTTGTTATCATGATAATATTGTATCATACACCATTGGTTATAGATACAGCATATTTTTACATTGAACAGATGGATCTCCTCTAACTAGATTACGAAATTAATGTGGGGATGTACTTGGATTGGAAGAAAGCATTAATAAATTGTTCCCCTTTGAGCGCGTCGGGTGAAAGGACGAGCAAGGATGTGATTGGTGAGATAGGATGGGACAAGTCTAAAAACCGAGTGGAACAATTAATCCTCTTGGCTTTCGATAGTCGGGACAAGAGGCAAGCACTGACCTACAATTCGTTTTATCTGTAGAGGTTTCACTCAAACCCTTCGCTTCCTTTGACCTATAAAACTTTTACAGCGTTTTCCATTGACTGATATCCTCCGAAGAGTCTAGAGTGACACATCACGGCTCATCCATGTTGACAGACCTGCCGTGCTAAGGAAAAACGCCGTATGGGCCTTAGACGTTGCCAAATTTCCTCTGAAAAATCATGAATGGCCGGGAAAATTTGTGATTATATTTCTTTCCCTTTTTAGAGCTTTTTGTTCGTAAGTTACTCTGAAGTTTCTGAAAATCTCAATGAATAATATTCAAACTTCCCTCAGAAATGAACATTTTATGAGGAGAAATTTGGCAACTCTCGAATGTCCATTCGGCGTTCTTCCTTAGCCCGGCAGAGTTGTTGAGTGGAAATTTAAAACTTGATAAGTGTGCCGTCGGGTATTGCTGAAGTTGCACTATGAATGTATGTTAAAATGAGCAAGAAAATAAAGTTTCAATGCCTCTCGATCTTAGTATTGAATCTAGACCAGGGCCGGATTTACCTATTTGCCGCCCATGGGCCGCCTGTATTTTTCCGCCCCCTTCTAATTCGTTAAGTGAACGTTCCGGTGGAGGAGAGGTGTATGAGACGCGTTCACTCGTGTTGGACACATTTTTTGTGAAAGCCCTGTCAACACTAACAAAAGTTTACGTAACTTTACGTGAAAGTTAAGTTCCGTAAACTCCGCCCTTTTTGGACAAGGCCTTCCATTCCCAACAAACGAACGAAAAAATTATGAAAGAACAAGCATAAATGTGGTTTAATAATTTTAACTTCTGCCGCTGCGCCGACCGCTCTGTGTTTGGCGCAATGCGTGAAGTACTCATGAAGTATTGTAGGCGCTATGCGTTTCACGCCGACTGCTGCTGACCGCAGTGTGTTTGACGCAATGCGTGAAGCATTCATGCAGTCTTGTAGGCGCTATGCGTTTCATGCCGACCGCCGCCGCGCCGAAGGCTTCTCCTTTTCATCTCAGTCCTCGTCATCATTGCTCTCTGAGCCGCTCCGCTCAAGGTCAAATTGCGTGTTTGGTTTCTCTCTTAACTTGACTAATTAAAGGTGTTATCTCTTGTACCACCGAAAGACGACAACATTAGATGTTTATTATACTTTTACTCTCAGGAAATGAGAGATTTTGTCGCATTTTCTCGTTTGTAATTTATTTTCTGAATCCAATGTTTTCTTCTTTTTTTGATACCTACCTTCAAGAAGATTGCAAAATTTGCCGCTACCTACATTTTGCCGCCATGGGCCGCGGCCCATGTGGCCACCCCCTTAATCCGGCCATGATCTAGACTGTAATTATGTGCGTTTGTGTGGTTTTGCAGTTAGAACAATTAGCTTTCACGTGGATGGAGCGTCAGAAATTGGGTGGATCATATTCATCTCACCGTGCTCAATCCGAAAAACACGTGGTCGTGTGTAGCACAACCTTGCATGCGGACACGATTATGGATTTCTTAAATGAATTCTATGCTCATCCTTTATTACAAGTAATGACTCGTTACTTAATAAGCATGTTTATACTCTCAAATTAGCTATTACTGATTGATAATTTTCATTTTTTCCCCCATTTGGACACGAATTTCGGAATCTCTTGCAATCAAGAGCATAAAAAAAGCTTTATATTGTTTGATGACACACATGCTTCTCAGCATTTTCTTCACCATTTGTATCCTTTCCCTAGACTTAAGAAGGCAGTTAAAATCTTTTCTCTCCTTTCATTTTGTTTTGGAATTTTATTTGCGACCCTTTTATTCGGAGTTGCAATTCTTTTAACCCTACGTTGCGAAAATTGTTAAATTACCACAACATTTTCCGTGTACTAAGTGTGTCCGGATATTCGGCATTTACTGATGGTATCTTTTCAGTTATCAAATGCAAGTCATCTAAATCCTTACCACTCTGTGATGAAGATCATCAAACAATAATCAAACCAATTTTCAACAATAACATACTTTCCTAGTTGATTTCATGGCATTTTTATTCGTCTAGCTTTAGGACAAAAGGAAATCGGTCTATATATGTAAAATTTAAAAGCTATATCTCTCAAATGCCTAAATGTAATTTATTCCACTTTTGCAGGATTTTTATGTAGTACTCCTATCTCCGATGGAATTAGATACCACTATGAGAATGATACTCCAAGTGCCGATTTGGGCACAAAGAGTAATCTACATTCAAGGTTCCTGTCTAAAAGACAACGATCTTTGTCGTGCAAGGATGAACGAGGCTGAGGCTTGCTTCGTCCTTGCTGCTAGAAATTACGCTGATAAGACTGCTGCCGTAAGTATTTATCAAAACTCCTTTAGACTGTCATAGAATCAATTTTATGATACCATAAAATATTCCATGAATTTTTATGACAAGTCGCAAACTACTATCGGATTGCTCTGTCTCTATTTAAAAAAAAAAAAAATACTCAGACATTTGGACCTTGACTTAACGATTTTTTAATAATTCCACACAAATATCTAAGGCCTTGTCTCCGCACTACATTTTCATGAAATATTTGTCGCAGGGAAAAGTCTCATTTGCAAAGTGTGGACAAATATTGATTAACTCGACGTCAGAGCCGATTGATGAGAGTGATGAAAAAATGTGTGCATGGTGTTTGTACAATATCTTTTTTGACTCTTATAAAGAAACTGTACCAAAGTTAATATATATTTCTGTCTTGTCCTAGGACGAGCACACAATTCTTAGGTCTTGGGCTGTGAAAGATTTTGCTCCGGATGTGCCTCAATATGTACAAATTTTCCGACCGGAGAACAAATTGCACGTCAAATTTGCTGAGCACGTGGTATGTGAGGACGAACTGAAGTATGCATTACTAGCCAATAACTGCACTTGTCCTGGTGCCTCAACGTTAGTTACACTTCTTCTGCACACCAGCCGAGGGCAGTAAGTAACGTATTTGATCTATTATCAGTTCCGCACGTACACGGTGCTCCTAAATTCTTGCACTACCCGTACTACACACCACCGCTGTGACTTTTGAACAAATTGGCTTGTTGCAAACTTCAGCTGGAGCAAAATGAAGAGTCATATCTAATAGAAAATGGCTCAGAAATCACAATGAGTGCATCGGAAAAGTCTGAGAAACACTCCTAATTTCGTAATCTGCGTGGGAAATATGTGTTTTTTAGTCTTCCCGCGCTTCAGAAATGATACTTCGGCCCCGGTGCACATTTCCCATAAGAGAAGTCGTTCCATCCAACCCTTGCGCACTAGGATGCTACATAATATTCAACATGGCCGATGCCAAACTGCCAAAACACACGTAACGATACGGGATTTCATCAAACGGCGTGTTTATATTTACACTTTCCTTGCTTTAATGAAGACCATATCGACGGCGTAAGGCCGCTATCACATATCTTGTTTGCGATGTCTGAAAATCTCCGCCTCTATGTTATTTTTTAAAGGGAAACAAATTGACATCATTCCTTGAAGTTTTTGCAGAAATTTTTTGCCACAGAGAAGAAAAATCACGGCAGTTTTTAAGAATTGCCGTTGAGTAGTTTTCCGTTTAAAAAATAAAGTATGACAGGAAGTCTCCGGCCTCGCAATCCGAGTTATGTGATTACCGACTTACACCGTCGATATGGGTTGCTTGCTCACGATTTGGGAGGAAGCGTCAGATATATGTCGAATATTGTGTAGAATTTTCGTGAGCGAGTCGATGGATCGACTCTTCTCACAAAATGTTCACCTGTGCCGTAGAATCGTTTTTGACACGGAAAGTTTTAAGAAATTTATTACGCAGATGGTGATGTTAAGACTGGGTATCAGACTTTCCCGATGCGCTCATCGTGATTTTTTAGTCATTTTCCATGAGAAGTATCTCTTCTTTTTCCTTTAGCGGAAGTTTGTGTCAGGCTCATTGAATTTAAGACTTGAAATTTCGTGAGTAAGGTGCGCAAGGTGACGTCGATCGATGCATAGTACGGCCTACTGCGGGTCGATTATTGACATTGATCGACAAAGCTTTAGACAAAAAAGACAAGGAGGGTATGGAGGGATCCTGTTGGTGGAAACGGGTGGTTGCTATGGACAAAATGGGTAGGTAATTGACTAACTAACGACAACCGACGGGAGACCCGATTATTTGTCCATCATTTTCTCCCTTAGTCTATAGGAGCCACCCATCCCAACTAAAAGGATTGCTCCATATCTCCTATGTCTTCTTTGTCTATCGCTTTGTCAATCAATTTCAATATACAGTCCGCAGATAATTTATGGCAGTACCGCTATGCGTTCAAACGCAAGACCGCCGATCCTGTTTTCGGTTGATCCTACGTTCCTTACGTCCGTCTCGTAAGTAACTTGGTGGAGCGTGCTAAGTGCAGTACTTTTCAGATATTTTGAGCTGCTAAGACCGATAACGACCTCAGATTTCAAGAATTGTTTTTCCTTGCGTCATCACAAAACGTTCTCTAAACATTTCATTCCAACTTGTAATTTTTCCCTCGAAAAACTCGATAAGTGCGGACGTTTTGAACTACTGCATTTGAAATACGTCTCATCATAGATATCTCTCCACTGAACCATGCAGACTTCCTTTCTATTGTTAAAAATCAATGCTGACGTAAGCTCTTGAAGCGCACGAAAAAAAGAGTTCATTTATTTCAAAGTGAAGGTACACGCTGTTGTGGATTGGCCCGTCGGCCCCCGATAAAAAACTCAACATTGTTAGGATTCAGTGTTTATCACGCTTTACGAGACATTTTAATTTTAAAATTATGAGTAGCAACTAGACGCTTACAAACAAAAAGATGCATTTATTCATGCTCTCAGCTTCAACGAACTTGCCGTAGATAACAAAAAAACGAAAGGTCATATCGAGAAAATTCTCTTCTTTAGAAGTCAGATCGTAGGAATTTCTAAGTGAATGAGAAAAGGGTAGAGGTGAAAGAATCTCAAAGAATATGAAGCTCCGCAGTCTCGCAAGAAATCATTCTTTCTCAATGTTTGAGGGATATTAATGGGCCTGGTGCAAGGTGCGGTTATCTGCGTTTTGATAAGTGACTCCAATGACTTTCACGAAAAGATTGATGCAGTTATTATTTTAACAAATCTTGAATTCACCTCCCAAACTCAAAGTAAGCTGTGTCAGGAACCGACCCATTCAAAACGGTCACTTTTGCGCGGGAACGGATCCAGTGCGTACTTCTGACCTCACAATACATAACAAACTTGGTCTCCTCATCAAGCGGCTCCCAATCTCGTATGGAGAAATACATCGTAAACGATGATGAGACCACGTTTGTTATGTACTGTATGTCACAAGTGTACCCGATCCATTCCCGCGTTTAAGTGACTTTTTTGAAAATCCAAATTTTGGGGCGCTTTTGAGTTGATTTATTGGTGGTTTCCGGTGGTCAACAACTCGGGGGAAATTCCTGCGACATCAGGATTTTAAGGTAGTTCTTTCGATACAAGCGATTAAAAAAAAAGAATTGTGCAACAGGTTCATTCCCCGTACTGTTAGTTGTTTCGCCTAATCAATGTCCACGGATTATTGTTTTTATATCCATGGAACTAATATCCAGCCTAACGGATATTGGTTCGCTTTTCAAACTCAACGAATGCGAATGTAGGTACTGATAGTACATTTGTAGCCCATGGCTCATCTGTTAAACGTTAGTTGATGTCCGAGGACCATCAACGTTCATAGGACTTCGCAGGAAAACGTACTGGCAAACGCAACAACATGGCGCGCTGTGGGAGTAAGGCAAGTCAGAGCGCCTTCAATTTTTGCGCATGCAATCCGGACATCCATAAAGCACGAATAGTTGTATCCACACGTTCAGTTCAAAACCCTGACGAGCCAGTCATCGGATCCTTGAGCTGAACACTACTCTTTACTTTTCCATGTTATAAATGGAACATTCAGAGAAAAAGAATTGCAAGTTTCGCTTCCATTCTTTAAAGAAACATCACTGCATGGCAAGTTTAAATACTTTAGGAGTTCAGAACGAAAAAATACCCAGCGTAATTCACGGATTTCACTGGATTTTCAGAGTGTCTGCAAGGCAACTAACTAAGATTTTAAGGGGCTTAATGTGTCTGAAGAGTCCTACAAAGGAAATGAAATATTTTTCTTGTTCTTTGTTTCAGAGAAGGGCAAGTTTCTTCTGAAGAGTGGCATAGGCTTTATGGTCGGTGTTCCGGCAATGAAATTTACCATATCTCGCTGGCGGAAAGTCGGTTTTTTAGTGAATATGAAGGCAAAAGTTTTACGTATGCGAGCTTTCATTCACATCGAAAGTAAGTTAATTTATCCAGACAACAATCACACCCTCGAAATCTCAAAGCACCACATACTAGTATGTTCATAATGCATATCAAAGTATCGATGTCAAAGTATACAAATAATTCGAGTCTTCCTAAAAAAACATAGAAACAATTTCGACATACCTTGCTGCAACTTTCAAAATTGATGATAGTGGTTGAAAAAGAAGAGCAATAAAAGAAGTTGGTTTTGTGGACTGGCAAAGAATGTTTTCCTGGGTTATGATTAAGCTCAGCAAGTATCAAAACAATACCATATTGGGTTTACGGCTAAAATTCTCCGACCTAAGTAACAGTGATCGAGATAAGTTGCGATTTGATCGGAAAATGTATTGCGATTTTATCGAGGTCGATTTATTGCAATATTATTAGATAAAAAATTGCGATTTCATCGCATAAATTTGCAGTAAAGGCGTGACTTTATCAACGGCGATTCGTCGCAATATTATCGAGCGAAAAATCGTGATAAATAGAGATAAAATTTCGATTTTATCGAACACAATTTTATGGAAATAAAATTGCGACAAGATTGGGGATTATCGCTCAGATGTTGATGATCCTTGCGATTTCTTCGACAAAAAATCGTAAAAAAATTTCTACTTAATTTCAAAATATCGCGATTTTTCCGTTGACAAATATTAGTTGGGGTTCTTCTCTAGGCTGACTATCTTTTCCGCCTGAAGTACCTAAGTGGTAATTTTTCCGATTATCGTTGCCGCACAAAGTCATTTCCATTCATTCATCTATTGGTGTTGCCTTATGTTTGAGATCTGATTAGTGCGAAAATGATTTTGCGCGGCGACGATAATCGGAAAAATTACCGCAAATGTGCTCAGTGCGGAAAAGATATTCTGCCCTTCTCTACCGTCAAAATTATTTATTTCCGTTATATGTCCTACCGATACCTCTGTAAAATAAATATGTTCTACTACTACTACCACTGCTACCTACTACTTTCTACTGTTACCGTTAAAATGTTCACGACTTTTTCCAGGTACGGCGTTGCGCTTGTGGGCGTGAGGCCGGCAGAGCTGCCTGAATTCTATGAAGATACAATTCTTTTGAATCCTGGTCCTAGGCATATAATGAAAAAATCCGATACGTGTTATTATTTAAGCATAACAAAAGAAGAGAACTCCGCATTCATAGCTTCGAATAAAAATGGAGCCATCAAGCCACCAGACATCACAAACGAAGCATACGCATCCAACCCTGATAAGACTGGTGAGAAATAGCAAGTTCTCTTTTTCATCAAATACGTGACTCTGAAACGAACAAAATACGAATGTCGGAACGTAAAGAAATGACTTTTTCGACTCCGGTATCACAGGCAGAACTGTATTTCAATCAAATTTTTATTGATTTTAAAACACATCTCCAGTTGAAAAAAGAGTGAAAAGTCATAATATCCGCCCATGCTAAAATGATCATCGACAGAATTGTAGAGAAAGCATGTCTTCGGTTTTGATAATCACATAAAGTGTGTCCTGTAAGATGTACTCCGTAATTATCCGTGTAATCCTGTAATCTGTAAGATGTCCCTGAATTTCATAATTCCTAACATAATTTTTAACTTCTTATTACCGTTTCAGAGATCCAAATCACAACTAAAACGGAATCGGAAACCAGCGAGCCGATGACTGGCAACCATTTAGGGGTTCCCAAGTCAACAGACAATAATCCAAATTTTCTGAGCCCAGAAATCCTGAACCAACGAAGAGGTAAATTTAGCTACGAAAGACTCGACGAATTTTATTTCAAGTACAGTACTTAATGCTCAACTATTCATCGTTAATGGTTTTTAGCCAAGCTATGAGTGTCGTCTTTAAGATCAAGCAACGGATGGTAACTGCAACAACATACCGTCCTTTTTTGCAACTGAGGTTTCTTGCCAAAGAATTAGCACACACACCGGGATAAAGCTCAGAGGCATCACGGAGTTCCGACGATCTCAAAAATTTAAAAGAAGAATTCTGCAATTTCCGAAATTTACAGCCAATTTTTAGAATTTTTATACTTGGCGCGATTGAGAATGTGAATTTCGCGATTTTTGCCACGAAGTGGCAAATTCGACTTATTTCGGATGCCCATCGGTATTAGTATTTTAATAGGAAAATCGGCGGAGAAATGACCCTTTTCGTGTTCGATGACTCAAAAAATTCTAGGAGGCAGGAATTTTTAATATGAGGAAAGTATAATTCATGATCCTAAGATCCCTCAGTAGGATTTTCATTTATTTGAGAAAGAATTTCCAAACAGTAGGTATCTCAAATCCCTCAATGCGGCATACTTGTGTTAAAATAAGAGAGAAAAGAGAGAAGAAAACGCGATAATCTTCAATCAAAAATTCGCTAGTTTACAGCGACAATTTTACTGCTATGAGTTGGATCATTATAAATCACGAGAATATGGGGGTCTCTAGTGACGACAGAAAAGACACTAGTTATTGGGAAAGATTGTCAATGGTGAAATTTGCAAACAACGTATCTCGTTTGCAATGTTTAAAAATCTCTGTTCCTACTTTATTATTTTAAAGGAGAACAAATCAACACCATTCCTTGAAGATTTTTCAGAATTAACTTCGCACGGAGAAGAAAAATCACGGACGTTTTTAACAATTCACCGAGTAGTTCTCTATTAGAAAAATGAAGTACAACAGGAAATCTTCAACGTCGCAAATGGAGATACGTGGACCGGTTGTTTCACCGTCAACATTCATCGAGCCATGAGAATGAGATACACAGGGTTATTCAAAAGTCACGCACCAGTGGCCATAACTTTACTTCTAATTAAGATATCGATTTGCGGTTTGTGACGTTTTTCCTCATATTGAGAGGGAAAAGTTTATAAACTTTTAAAAAGTACCTATAGGTACTTTTCAGTTTTTTACTCCCTTTGGGGGAGGGGGGAGGTGCAACTCAAACATTTCGAATGGCCACCCCCGTCATGGCCATTGGTGCGCACGCGACTTTTGAATAACCCTGTATGATTTGGATTACCGAGAAGGCGCGGTGATACAACTATTCGTGCTCTCCAGAATGCGTGATGTATCAAATCAAAATGAAGGCGTTTATAATTTTGATTGGGAAGTTTCAGCATCGGTGTACTCCTGAGAAATGAACTATTTTTTTTTTCTCTTGAAGGGAGTCGGAGGCCAAGTATACTACCGGTGCCGGACATGTTCACGAGCTCAACATTGAACATGGTGGTGGGTCACCAGGACACGGAGGACAGCGAGGACGAGATGGACGACGACGTGCCGTGGAGATCGCCCAGCGAGAAAATAGCGTAAGTATCCGTCCGTGACGTCCTCCCCGCCTCCAAGTGTGTTCATATCTCATGTTAGTTGCACTCATAAGCGTTTACTCCGGCTCAAACTGTCCCAACAGCTTTCATGTTCCTTGCTCCTCTGTTTAGCCTGCACGGAAAAGCATTTCCTTACATCGTTAGTGAACCCATTAAAATTACCTACCAAAAAATATTTTTCGGACGAAGATTAGTTATTTAATAACTACCGAGGGCTTTCGCCGCCCAGCAGCAACGCGGCCCAACTGTCAGAGAGCTCAGCGCTCTGCAACACTCGGCTCCTGTCCGTCAATGTAAATAAAACGAGCTAATGTGGCCCGCTTTAAGCAAAAAAGAAACAAGCTACATCAGTTATTGCCAATTTTTTTTAATTTAATTGTTTATTAAAAACGGTTGTGCGGATTTTTGTGGAAATTTCAATGAATTTTCTCCACATTACGAAGCAAATTCTTTAAAATTTTCAAAAAAATCCGCTTGGTTTCTTTCTGCTAAACGCTGTCTATATAGGGGCCCTATAGCTGCAAATATCATGAAAATTCGCCCCCGGCAGATCTGTAGCACGAACTGCCCCAGAAAATGAACATTTACATCCTTTAAATGGGAGAATTCAGACGAATCAAGGCGAATTTCTACATGAACCAAGTAGATAATTGATAAACACCTGGTCTGATTTTACCTTATGTATAGACCATGCTAATAAAGGGAAAATAGTGCGTGGTTTTTCTTTATCATTGGAATCAGTTGCCTCTGATTGATAGTCAAATGAACACATATTCAAACTGTTAAAAAAGGAGAACCAACAGAAATCTTTAAGTCCTCTGCTCCTTAGCTGAAGAATCCTATCTCTGATTTTACATTTTCTCCCCTAGAGTTAGTCATTATGTATGGTTACTTTTACGCAAAGTCGAACAAGCCTTCCTCCAAAATTGCCGATCCAATACCTTCCGCATACAATTCTCGTCTCTCTTAAAATTAAGGAAATGTTTTTCCATGCAGTTACCCTGCCATAATTTAGACTGTCCCTATTAAAAATCATAAATTAATGGAATGAGGTGTTATAATTATTGAGTACATTGTCACCGAATTGACGTCATATGAATGTCAAAAATCAGCTGTCTGGAAGTTCCCATAGGTTTAGCTGGTTTAAAGTCGCGATGGGAAAACAGGTATTATCAGGATCATTAATAGTTTGCCACAGTATATAATTATGTTACAGGGGATAAAAGTATCATTGCGTCGTGTAATGAAAAACTTTTCAATTAAATTTCACAAGCGACTCATTGCGTTTTAAGTTGCAATTATTAATTACGCGGCGCCTGAACAGCAGTTGTGAGGCATGAATAATCGATCATAGATATCTCCCCATTTGAAACTGTGGTAAAGAATCGATTATTAAGGTTTTCGTTGCGAACGCCCTGTATACCAATTTTTTCCCATTTTTTTAAATGACAGATCAATCAATTTATCGCAAATCACGCCACGCCACTGCTGAGCAACCGAATGGTTTTTACGTCCGTTAAAGTCCCACCGCGTGTAACCTTACAATACAGGTTGTGTCGGAAACCTGTCTCACAACCCCTTTTAACCTTTTTTGAATACGTGCGGAAAATTACTACTCTTTAAAATGCCGACGATTCGACCTATTTCCGACAGGCCATTGGGAGGCACGAAAGAGGGTAACTGTTTATTCTTAGAACTTCAAGAATATCTCCATTTTCTTCTATTCTCTGTCTATTTGATGTTCTGTGTGATTTTTCCGATTTCATGTTAAGTGTCATAAAATGTTTCAATTTATCGACTTAATTAACTTATGTTGAATTATCAACTACAAAAATTTTAAAAAAAATATCATAAAATGAATGTTTGTTAATGTAATGGGCAAGACTGTCGAGCAATCTTAAGTGGCATAATAGTAACTCACACCTTTGTTACAAAGCTAGTTCATTTATACTGAAATTTTGCACTAAACTACGGGTTTTCACTGAGTCCTGCAAAATTTTAAACTTGTCATTGCTACGGTTTTCTTTTTCCTTCTCGATAAAACCGATAGGTCCTTATTTCCTCTCTTTAAAAAACCTACTGTCTTAAAATTGTATCAATTTTCCATACCCTGTGCAAATTTTTTTGAATCATTATAATTTTTTCTGACAGTATGGCATAGCTATGATTTTAATTTATTGAACAAAAGATAATCCCCTTGAAGGTTTTAGGACATTTTGTCAACGATTTTTTGCCCGCGCACCTTTTTTGTCCAGTAGTTTACGCCCACACGTAAAATTAGCAACAGTGACTTGGTCCAAACGTTATATTCTAGTCCGTATGTAAAATTATATTGACAATATCGAAATGAGAAATTGAGAGGGAAGGAGGTATTGTTATGGTTGCTCATTTTCTAAATGAAATGTTGTTACTTTCTCATTTTGAATCATCTTTTTAAATTTTCATCGCATCGGTGAATATTTGGTTTTATTTCTATCCTTAAAATATTCGATTTACAATATACCTTATATATGTTTAGGTACTTTTTTTTTATTTTTTTAATTTTTTCTTTACGAAATTATTACTTCATTTTGAAAACATCTTTATTTTTAAAACGTGACGAATATTTGTAAAACCTTTTCCAAGCAACATTAATCTCAATGAGCCGCAGTTGTGCCGACAGAAACTGCAAAAATGAATAAAAGAGGAAAAAAAACCAAGAAGCACGCAATTTTTAGTTTTACCCCATTTGTACATCGATCATTTAGGGTCAAATACGTCTAATTTTCAGCGTTTGGTTGCGCGCACACCTCGCTGCAGCACAATAAAAGCGCAAAATGTAAAAAAAAAAAATTAAAGTGCTTTGGAAATCATTAAATTTAACACGGAACCACCAATATTTAAAAAACACACTTTATATTATTATTCTCCCTTGATAAATTGATACATATTTTTTTCCCATCAATTTAATTGAGAATAATCAATGCAGAGTGTGTAAACATTTCAAAATCATGAGTTAAAAAACGCTGACTATGCGAGTTTAAATATTAAAGCCTAAGAGAGCGGAGTGGCGTGCTGCCAGCGCGAGAGGCTCACTGGCGCCTACAAACCTAAGTGGATACTTCACGCATTGCGCAATGCTGGAAGTATCCACTTAGGTTTGTAGGCGCCAATGCGCGTTTAGCGCTGGCCGCCCGCCCGCCGTGCGGCGGCGCCTGAAGCAACTATTTCACAACAGAGGTGTTGCACAGTATTATACGAAATTGAACGTATTAAGAATGACAGGCATCCTTTAAAAGTACAGATCTTTCCTCGCAAAATAAATCAAGATACTTATCGTACACAGGAAAAATCTAAGAGCCTTTGGCTGAGGCAAATATAGAGGTTCATCCGGTTCAAGTATAACAAGGTGGGAATTTCTTGAAAGATAATTAAGTTCTGTTACACCAAAGAGGTGTAGAGAGTGTAAGTGAATTTTGTCTCATGGAATTGACGCTCCCCCATTTTTACCAAAACTCTCAACTACATATCATTCTCCGTTGGACCAAACAGGCAAAACAAAAAAACAAGCAAACCCTCATTCTTCCAAGACATTATACATTTTCATCCAAAAACGTCGTGAGCAATTGTCGTTTGTATTTACATGTTTTGTGGGCCAATTAACTTTGGGTCTCAAGTGGCACGTGGACCAAAATTCCCGTGCCGAAAAAACGTTTGGACGAAAATTACTGGAAAAAACAGGTGCGCGGACAAAAAATCGTTGACGAAATGCCCTATAACCCTCTTGAAAAATCCTTGAATTTGCCACCCAAGAAAAATTACGGGAAGTATATTTCGTAAACTGTTTTTAGTGCCCATCTTGTAAGTGCTCGGTGCGTTCAGAGTGTAGCCATTAGACAATCTTCATCTTAGAAATCTAATCCACAAATGCAAAAATTCTCATGTAATGAGGATATATTTTAGCATGTTTGAACCATAATCGATAAGCATAAATTGATCGAGAAGTAGCAGACCTTTAAGAGGATGCTCCATTTTTAGGGCCTCGTATTTTATATTTTAAGTATATTAAGAAACAGCCTTTAAAATGGGTATTAAATATTCGTTGAATGGCTTTGAATTCTCACTGAGGTGCACTATAAGACTTTTCGAACTTGTGCACGATCAGTCTTTTACGATGTAATCCGAGATGCTTGGAGTCAGAGTGCGAAGAAGTGAAGATTCCACGGGTTCATTCAACGACATTTTATACTAATTTTCTAACTACTTCGAAGCATCATTTCCATCTTTATTAGAAAAAAACTAATCTTCGTAAGGGCCTTTGATATGTTTTTGTACATAAGAGACACAGGCAACTAATTCAGCACTTGGGTAAAGATGCACGAAAATCACGTTGCATACATTATAAAGTCTAACCTCCGCTTCTTAACGTGAACAATTACATTGCTAGTATCTGGATTTTGAAAGAAACACCCCGCTAACTTTCCTTCTTCTTAGCCACGATTCACCAGTCCAAGGAACAAGAAAAAAAAAAGAAAACAAGCAGTGAACTCCAACACAATGTGTTGATAAGGCGCGTCATTAACTCGCACATATCAACCCCTTTAGTTTTCATTTACAGAGATTTCAAAATAGGCAAACAGCATAAAAAGAGAATTCACGATCCAACACTGCGAGGTCAAAGACGCACCTTGACGAGACCGTGTATTGTGAAAGTAGAAAGCTATTCGATCGAATTTAAGTTTTTTGATCTGCCTCAAGCAAAATCTTATCAGATTCTTGAAGAAAAGTGCTACGGAATAATTTAAGCGAAGAAAGGAAAAATTCTGTCGAACTCCTAGAAGATAAAGTCGATTTAAAGGTATTTTGGGGCTAAAATACCCAAATCACCGGTAGTAAAAATCCCGTTATATTATTGAAAAGAAATTGACTCGATATAAATGCAATTGCATTAAATACGTCTTGATTTTGTTATTTTAAACGTCTTTCCATGCAAAGAAGTTCAACCATGTCGTTGCTTTATTCATTCATGAATTGAAAGTAAGCAATCTACATCCCGAAAATCTACTGATTTGCCGTAAAAAATTGCAGAAACTTGATATACCAGGTCGATGCACCCACTCGTTGAATTTACCAACCAATTTTGTGAGTGCAAATGTGTAAGAATCAATATGCTATAGTCATTTTGGGTGCATTTATTTTTCATGAAACAATAATAATTTCAATCCCGAAAAACCATCAATTTTCCGTATAAAATCGAAAAAATCAAAATATGTCAACTCCCCGACGTGAAAATTAGATTCTACGTATGTAAAATGTAAATACTTATGTATCGATATGCTGAACAGAACTATGTGTGGACAGTCAGAAGCCCGCGGCAACATTAATTCAACAGAAAAACTGTAAAAATTAGATAGGATTTTAGCCGCTTTGCCCGCCTCTCCTCGCTACTTACAACAAACCGTTCTTATACTCATCTCAAAATTTTTCTCAGAGCTTTGGGTTATTATCAGCTTCCATTTAAACTCCGGTTCGATGGCCGAATCGGCTGCCAAAAAAGCAAGCCACTGTTGAGGGGTTCTATGAGAAATTCGTGATATTATCGGCTCTCAGGAAATCACCCCATGGCTAAAATTGGTGGTATAAATGTTTAAGTGCTTAAAATAATCGTATTCAAGAAACTAAGGAATTAAACTATGGAGTCAATTTCTTTTTAATAATATAACGAATTTACTACCGGTGATTTAGCTATTATAGCCCCAGAATACTTTTAAAGCGCCTTTGCGTTCCAGAATCTCGACGGAATTTTTTTTTTTTTTTTTTTTGCTTAAACGATTCAAGAAACATTGTAGTTAAAAATATAAAGATTTTTCGATTTGGACGTATGAAAAATGTTTAACTCGTTCAGGCACACCGTGTATTGTATGGAGTACTGCTGTTATTCGACCGTTGTCTTCAGGTCAAAATTCTTACAAAGAAGCCCCTTGCAAGAGGCAAATTTTTTGTAATTTCTCCCAGTTTTTTCAGCGTTAGGTATATAAATGAATTGTTTGTCAAATTTTGAGGTCAATTATATTTAATTGTAATTTATACTTTCTTTTTTTCCCCTTCATTTTATTTTTCGTATCGAGGAGTCGAGGTTTTGTTGATTTCTTCGGATTTCGATTACTGTAACTTCTCTTCTATTCGGCCGATTTTTATGAATGAGGTCTCTTTTTATTTGTGTTTTAACGGAGAGTAAGGAAAAAATTGCTAAATACATGCGAAACAATTTTTTTTGAAAATTGGATGAATCCTAGCGTGACGGTGAAATGGTTAATGAAGCGTGAGTAATTGGGGTACGGGTATCGGCCGCGTTGGGACCCAAGGCCCATTGTTCTTCGTGACGCCGACGCAGTGATCAGGAGCGTGGGGACGAGAGGGCTTAGTGGACTCCTGTATGAGCCACGTTTAGCAAATGGTCTAATGAGTCTCGAGGCTCATCACAGATTGCACTTACCACTATCCTGGTGGCCCCGGCTATCAGAGCAAGGAGTACCAACTTTTGAAAAGGATAACAGTGTTGTGGAGATATGTCAAAGCAACGTTGTGAACAAAACGGAGTGAGTGAAATTCTCATTCAAGGAGTGCCGAACTGGTCAGCCATCCTCGAATCAGTTCGCTTGCTTCCGCTTATATATGCATATTTTAAATCAGCGCGCCCCATTCTAAGGTTTTTTTAAAAAAAACCAAGAAACGTAGACTCTTGGTATTCATTACACATAAACTAGCGAGCCCCAGAATGAGAAACAAATTTTAATCATTATTATTGACGGATTAGTAAACTTTTTACACGCTTTGGAAAATCTCAGAAGTTCGCGGTAGTCACTTTTCGGTAAGGAACTAGGGGACTCGGTTATTGTATCGAGGGGGGGGTCGAAACGATCGCAAAGGCGGTATACTACGTATACGCGCCAAAAAAGGAACCGATATTTTGTGTTAGCATGGAAAGTACAGCAAGAAGTAACGTGAGTGTGTAACGTCAAGGTGAACATGGTGGTCTTCAGCGTATGAGAAATACATGCCGATAAATTTGAAAAAGTGTGATATGGAGTCACCTTTGACTTGAAAATCAAGTTTTCGGTCAAAGAGTGCCATCTGGGACCAAGTTTCACAAAAACCGATCGAACAAGAGATATCGTACGATGCGTAGAACTCTACTCAGCGGTAAGCGATACCGGTCAATTTAAACACGTCAAAGCGCCTTCAATTACGTTTGATACTGTGCAATACTTCAGAGGCGGAATAGTTGCTCAGAGCGCCTTCAAGAGTATCGCTGGGACTTGACGGCAGAAGATCACGATGAAAGGACGCAAAAGCGCGTGCGCAGTTACACATTTTCTTATCACTGACGGTGCGATAAAAGCTCACTTTGCGACGTTGCAAGTTTTCTGCTGCTTATTTTGCGGTTAAACGAATATGAACTTTTTATAACCTGCCGTGTTTTCTTTTCCTCCGAAATTTGACGAAAAATATTATTTTAATTTTTCATTCAAGTCTATTTTATATGCTTCTTTTAAAAAGGGAAAAAGAAGTATGAGTAGGAACCTTTGAATGAGCAAAAGCGGATGTGGAATTTGAAGAATAAAACGGTCACGAAGAGCTGAAAAAGCACCGAAACAAACAAACAAACCGATTATCAGTGTTATCACCAGCTCGCCTTTGCGCTTTTGCGTCCATGATGTAAATATCATGAAGTTTAATTATATTCCTCTGTAAAAGGAATAAAAAAATAAATACATGAGTAAAAAATACAGCAGTTTCAATACCAAAAAATTGAAGAATCGTTGGAAATTGAATATCGGCGTCCAAATTAGGCGAGAGCACATCGGTTTTGGAACTGAGCTGAAAAAGAGTAGACATCTCGATCGCAAAGCTGGATAGTGTTGAAGGCGCTAAGATAGTATTTTAAGCCGCATCCGCCATATTTGTTTTTCGAGTTTTGAAAATGCGTTAAGCAGTGGATTTGAGAAATTTCTAACACGAGCTAACACGATTTCCGTGCGACTTTACAGATCGGAAGTCCCCTAAGTTGGCTGTATCTCTTATACACAACACATCATATGCTGAAACAGAAGAATTTCCTTAATTTTTGCAAATACGTTATTTTTCTTGATCGGCAATTATAAAACTCTCTGTTTGTAGTATCCTGGGAGGCACCATCGATTCTATTGATTAGGCTCCGAATAAAAAGATGCTAATTTTGTAAAGTATTCCCATGATAGAATAAATATAAAATTTCTGTATTCGTCTCAAATTAAAAAAAGACAAATTATCTCTAAAATTTTCGCAGTCATTCTTTTCTGATTAAAATTCTAATAAATTTGCGGCGTACTATTTTTTCACGGCAACCTTCTTGAAAATCCCGTAATGAGCTATATCATTATACTGTAAAACCAGAACTTGAGGATTTCGAAACGATAGAGAAGATATTCAGGTATATGTTTACATTTTGACGGAAGTAAGTCGCAACTTATAATTCGATGCTTTATCATCCTGTAAAGCAAGACTTCAAGGATTTTGGAACTTAAGAGGATAAGAGATTCAGGTCATGTTTAATAATTTGGCGGGAGCTAATTTTAACTGACAATTCGATGCTTTTCAGTATTATTTAAACCCGCCTCCAAAAAGAGGTCTATCGAGCCACCACTTTGATCGCACCTTGATTTCTTAATCGAATGCAGCATTTGTTTGCATGATCACTGATTTTTGTGATTTGATGTTCGTTTTCTTTTCTCTTTCTCGCACTTTCAGTCTTCATATCAGTTCTGAAGGCGAAGATTATATAACTCCCGTTTGGCATGCTGAGTGGGCACGGTAAGGACGATTTCATATGTAAATAGGGCAGAGGCGGATCCAGCAAATTGGCAACGCCGGTATCCCTCCATTTAAAGCTACGCTAAATAATCGATTCTCGTCGGAGCTCCTGGCCCCTCAAGAATCGATACATTTCCATGGGTTTAAATGGAGAAAACACAATGTTGCCAATTTGCTGAGTCCGCCAATGATAAGGACCTACCAACTAGTTGCATGCGTAGCGCTGTTCAACCCTGTATTTTCTGTTATTTTTGAATGATGATCTCGATGTGTGAACATCAAATTCAGCGGTTTTTAACAAAAATCAATAATTTTAATTAAATCCACGCGTGGCTGCACGGTAGACAACATATTGTGTTGAGGAGTTGGCAATGCACTGGAGATGAAGATGACATTCCGAATTCTGTCGGAGCTGAGGGTCTTTACCGTATTGAGCAAATAGCAGTGTTATACATACATCTTTAAGCTTTCTATTAATGAAGTGGACCATTTTTTATTCACGGAAATGGCTTTCTTTGTTCGTTTCGATACTGATTGGTTTTTTTTTAAAAAAAAATTATTCAAGGATTTATGAAATTAATATACGAAAAAAGAATATATAAAGGTAGCAAAATCTGTCAGTCAAATTGATAGAATGCCAATCAGAGGAGGCATCGTTTCCAATCAAAACTCGGCAATACGGGAAGGAACAAATTGATAACCTTTTGCAATAAGGAACCACTATCTCTGGCTCTTCCATAAAAGGACGTATCTGCATGGGGAAATGAATTGCATATATTTTGTTTTTAAAATGAGCTCTAAGAAATGTTTCCTTATATCAAAATGTAATAAAAATAGTTTCTTTCTCTTTTGGCTACTTTGACTGCATAAAAGATCCATCATGTTTAGAAAAGTTGTCACTGTTTTCAACACTTAATAGCTGATTTTAAAATAGATCGAGAAAAGAAAGAGGGAATGGAGGGGAAATGAAGTGTGCCACCTCTTTGTCTAACCTATTCGTTTTTTTTCTTCTTTTTTCTTCTCCTTCTTCGAATTTCAGAATTATAAAAGGATTCCCACCAGTTTCTCCATACATCGGCGTCAGTCCAACTCTTTGTTACCTCTTAAAAGAAAAGAAACCACTATGCTGCCTTCAATTAGCTCAGGTAGGTGTTAAGTAATGTTTCCAAGGTTACGATTGTTCAAATTTTTTTTTGAAAAGTTATTTACATTTCATAAAATTTTGCAACTAGAAACTACTATATCTGGCTCACTTGCAAAAGCACTTATCTGTAAAGGCAAATGAATAGCGCATACGTTTGCTGTGAAATCAGCCAGAGACTGTTGCGAAGTATCGTCCAGTTATCAAACCAAGCAACAAGCTACATTAGCTGGACACCAGCAATACCAGCATGTCAAGGATAATTTGTGTAATTAAATTAAGAGGCTTTATTTTGCGCACATTTCTCTGAATTTGACAGCGCATTAATTGCAGCAGGGTCCGTGGCATCGTTTTCATTAGCAATTGGAAAGTCCAACCTCATGACGTTTTAAAGCCAATTTCTCGCTCATTCATTTATTTCGTCGCCCCTCTGACATAAGGACGTATCTCAATTTCCATATGAGCCCTATTTCGCATATAAGTCCAAGATTTCTGGGGCTCATGTCAAAATCGAGTTGCGTCGGTGCGTTGGTACGTCAGATGAGCGACGATTTAAGCCAATCCGGGACATCATCAAAGTGTACCGCTTTTAGTCTCGCTTGCTTTTTTGGCGGTAAAACTGCTACTGGTGAGTTTACATTTGATATTAAAAACAAATATTTGATCAAATTCGTGCGCGCATTTGAAGTGGGTTTCACAGCCAAAATCCATTTGAAGTTGTTGATCTAATTAATAGACTTTTATCCAATAAATATTCCTGCTACATCTTCAGTGAAAAAAATGACCTTGCAGTGTTTATTCGTCAAATGTCAAGTCTATGTCTAATAAAAGAGTCTAATAATAAGAGAATCTAATAAGATTGTATGTCTTTGTTTCCTTTTCAGGTCTGCGAACACTGCTCCTATAGGAATGCCAACGAGTACAACTGGCAGAACAAAACAATCATACTAGCCGCAGATTACGCATCAAACGGAATCTATAACTTCATAATTCCTCTACGTGCTCATTTCCATGCCAAGACGTCGTTAAATCCAATCATTATGCTCCTGGAGCGACGGCCTGAGATCGCTTTTTTAGATACCATTTCCAATTTCCCTTTAGTTTACTGGATGCTTGGCTCGATAGACTGGTTAGTTCCTTACCAATACTGTTACCTCTGCGAAGATTCATGTTGTAAGAAAAAAATTTCGGCGGAGTAAAATTTTACCCCCATCTCACGGTGTTTTTTTGAGAGAATACTCATCTAAAAAGTATAAAAATTTTATAAGAACGGAATAAAAACTCTACAACTAGAGGAGAGGTAATTTAAATAAAGTTACCTGAAACGGAAATTAAATATGGTACCCTCTGCTCCTGTAGCCGTCGATTTTTGCCTCGCGGATGTGAGGACGCAACACGTGACATTATTTGCACTTTTCTCTGCTTGACGGTCATCAGGGTAGCTCGGAATTAAAGAAAAGTATGAAAGATTGGAAATTCTTTCAAAATATTTCGTGAAATTTGAAGAAGCCGTGGTTATGAAAAAAACGGAACACTCATTTCAAGGGCACGGTTTGCAACCCGCAACGTTGATTTTTTGACTAGACTATTATTTACAAGAAGTGGGTTCATTCTCATTCCTCCATACGAGATTTGCATAGTTTTCGTTTACTCTTTTTATACATTTCAGTTTCTTTGCGGTCATTTGCCTCCCCGTTTCCGAAATTCGGTTTGATTTCATCGGTCAGTCTGCAGACTGGGCGCAGCTAGTCCACAATTTGACTGTTTTTCCGGTCATCCCGCGGTGAGGCTAACGTGACCTGTTATTCCGTGAAATGGCCGATTCTGTAAACGGGGCGTAAAAGTCACCCAGAGACTTTCAGGGAAGTCTGGTTTTTTTTACGTACCGCACGTCAACCAAGTTTCCTTCGTCATTTCATGCAGTATGGGTCTTGTAAATGAAACTTCGTAGGCGAAAATTTGCTCCAAAAAGGATTTTAGCATTAACTTTACGAATTACAACAACTTGGTTCTTTTTTGTTTCGATTTTCAGTCTTGACGACCTTCTGAGAGCCGGGATCACGCTAGCTGAAAATGTAGTTGTAGTAAATAAGGAACTGTCTAATTCTGCCGAAGAGGACACGTTAGCGGATTGTAATACGATAGTAGCTGTCCAGACAATGTTCAAGTAAGGATAATCCAAGCTTAACTAATTACAAAAATTAAGTTTTAAAGTTATCTGGAACTATTTCTGCAAAAATATAGATCGAAGGATACATATTCTTGAGTGTTTTTTCTGTGTTTAAGCAGACGAAAAACTTTCGAAGTGGTAAAATAATCATGATTGATCACTAAGAATTAACGATCAAAACAGGATGACAGCTGATACAAGACTGTCCGGCTGCAAGTGGTCCCTAGAGAACCAAGTAGCCAGTACCATATTTTTGGTAGTGTTTAAAATGTAGCCAGTAGGTCTAGTGAAATCGAAGTGAACACTTTTTTCCGCGTGAAATAAGAAAATAGACCTACTTGATGTCATTCATACTTTGTGAAAATGTGATTAATTTGGATGTTGGAGCTTTAAAAGTGGCTTAAAAATGAGAAAAAATATGTCCCATCACATTTATAAAAATAATTGAGAAAAAAATAGCTCAGAGGTCCGGGAAATATGGATAATCGAATGCGAATGCCCTCGGTTGATCCTGGATGTGCTCATATTTATTATATTGTTCTGCCAAAAACAGTGGAACCTGTAGTGCCAAAAGGAAAAAAAAAATACTGACAATAAGTGCGTTTTTCACTTGCATTAACTGAAAGTGACCTACGGGCACCGATAGTTTTCTCAGTGTATTACCACGTGCACAGTTCACTTTACATATTATAAACTGCTCTTTTTGAAATGTAACTCACTGACGAGATTCTGTAATGGATTTCAGGTTCTTCCCAAGTATCAAAAGTATTACGGAGCTTTCGCAGTCCTCTAACATGCGGTTCATGCAATTCCGAGCTCAAGATAAATATGCCCTGCATCTCTCAAAAATGGAAAAGGTATAATTAATTTCTTGTGAAATTAGAAATCCAGCTAACTCGAACGTTTAAACCTCATGTTTCATCATTTACGCTCAGGTGAAACTCATGGCTGATCTGTAATCTTCACGTTTATGGGGGCAGATAACATAGCTGTGTTTACTATATTAATTGTTTTGCATTTCCTCCAGTATTTCAATATATTCAGTGTCACGCAAGTTTACACGAGCTATAATACCGAGATTTCTCACACCGATCATATAATTCATATATAATAAAAAAACCGATTTTGTATAAAATACAAGTTGGTACAGAAGAAGCCCGAAACTTTAAATGTTAAAATATTTTAATTACTAATTATTAATTCTAGTGAGTCCTACATCAAGTTCTCCCTAGAAATGTTCTGTATCATTGTACAAGAAATGCGCCCCCCCCTTTTTTCTATTTAATGTAGTAGGAATTTTTCAAAATGTGCGCCAACATCTTATCCTTAACTTCATCTTAATAATGATGTTAACATTACCAAGACCGTATACCGAGACGTTATACCGTAAGACTAGGAGGAGATAGGTGGGTTATTTTGACGGGTGCTGTTGCCGCATTGTATCTAATTTACTTATTTTTTCATTTGATTAGCACTTAAATTCTGCAAATTCCTTGCAATTCTTAATCATTTTTATTCCGTTGGTTTCAGCACGAGAAAGAACGGGGTTCGCACATATCATATATGTTTAGGCTACCATTTGCTGCTGGTGCTGTTTTTAGTGCAAGTATGCTAGATACCTTATTATATCAAGCGTTCGTCAAAGATTATGTGATAACTTTTGTAAGACTGCTGTTAGGTGTTGACCAAGCGCCCGGATCTGGATTCCTGACTTCGGTAAGCCTCAGTATAGTTCTCAATGGTTAATGTTTATTTTTCAACCCCAAAAATTTTTTATACGAGGGTCATCCAAAAAGTAAGTTTCCCTACCTCGTATCTTCCGAACGAAATAAGCTAAATTAAATCGGTAAAAAGGCATATATTAGGCATACTCTAAGCTTTAAAACAAGTCCAAGTTTTCGAAAATCGATAAAGGGATTCGCAAGAAAAGTTAATTTTACTGAGACAACCTCCTGTCGCCACGTGCCCACCTCCCGGGTCAGGATGCGCGGAGAGTCGATTATTTTAGACTCGGGTATTCGCCTCTAAACATCACATCAAAAAGAATTTCAAAAGGTTTCATTGAGTAGGTCTTACCTTTCTTTTTGACGTAGGCTCCACATCTTTTTTGACATTTCTGGTATCATTACAGCAGCTTTTCGATGCCTTCCGTATAGAAGCTCTCGCCTTGGCTCCGAAACCATGTCATTGACAGCGATCTGCACTTCCAAATCAGTTGTTTTGCGTCGGAAAATTTCCCCCCAAGCCTCCTTACTCTCTTAATTTAGCCTTACGTGACTGTCATCCGTTCCCGAGCGGAAAAACTTCCACGATGAAAAGCGATTGCCAACCGATTCAGAGGTACAGATCGCAGTCAATGATTGGTTTCGGAGCCAAGGCGAGAGCTTCTACACGGAATGCATCAAAAAGCTGCTGTAACGATACCAGAAATGTCAAAAAAGATGTGGAGCCTACGTCAAAAAAAAGGTAAGACCTAGGTAATCAATGAAAACTTTTAAAATCCTTTTCGATGTGATGTTTAGAGCCGAATACCCAAGTCAGAAATAATCGACTCTCCGCGCATCCTGACTCGGGAGGTGGGCACGCGGCGACAGGAGGTTGTCTCAGTAAAATTAACTTTTCTTGCGAAACCCCTTATCGATTTTCAAAAACTTGGACTTGTTTTAAAGCTTAGAGTATGCCTAATATGTGCCTTTTTACCGATTTAATTTAGCTTATTTCGTTCGGAAGATACAAGGTAGGGAAACTTACTTTTTGGATGACCCTCGTAGTTGTTCTGGCTCATGTGTCTCTGGGTGAAGGTAAATTTTCGACCAAAGTCGTTAATCAACTTATCAATACTTGCATTGCTGACGAAATCAACTAAGTGCATAGTAACGTAACAAATAATTATTTTTCCACATCATCCTCCCTTAACCAGACACAACCCAGTGTAATACAGGGTAACACAACATAGAAAATAACACTGTAATAGAGCTATTTTTTATATCTACCACTCATAATCAGGCTCAATCCGGTGTATCATCGTGGCAAAAGTTTCTGTTAATCCTAGAAGTCCTATTTCATGTAAACAGAGTGACCGGTTAGAGAGACATTTATGTTTCATTTATGTTTTACGTCAACATCGCAAAGTTGGGTGACTTCAGGAGACAAACAGCACGATCGATTGTTCAATGACAAGTTTTAGGGATAATGGGAACTTTTAACATCCAAATGAGGTATTTGGAAGACAAGGCGCACAAGTGCAGTTTTAGAAATTCGAGACTAGAGATAGGAGCCAAGCCACCTCAGCTGCAAGCCGTAGCTCGGTATGCTTGTATTTCAACAGGTGAGGTACAAGAAAACGACTGAGCCTCACTAAAAGCATAGCAGATGAAAACAGGAACGAAAGGCGAAGGGAAAACAGAAATCCGAACCATCTCGTGTTTTTCCGTGTTGAAAAAGGGAGGATGAAAATAAAAATAAAAGCGTGTGCTCAGGAGCATGTATATGATCAAATTTGAGTTGTGCGTGTTTTTTGGTAGTTGCACTGGAAAAAAACACATTGGATCTAGAGTCCAGACTCTTAAAAACATCGACAAGAAAAAATACTCTTGATTCAATCAGATTTAAGCTTAAGAACCAAGCCTCTTAATTTCAGCGGATTTTCTTTTGATTTAAGCCTAAATCTGATTGAATCAAGAGTCCATTTTCTTGTCAATGTTTTCAAGAGTCTGGACTCTAGATCCATTGTGTTTTTTTTCCAGTGTACAGGTGAGATCTATCAGAATGCGAAGCGATTTTGTCTGTAAGTCATTTGACGCGGAGTAAACAGCGTTTTGCGATAAGTACATTTTTTGTTTAGAAGGGACGCGGGGTAAGTGCGGCCTACCGTCACTCTAAGCCCAATTGGACGTAATTATATCAAACGGAACTATGTGCATTATGACGTGAGCCATGTTATGCACCTATTCTTATGGGTTCCAGAGGTCATGTATTAATGCACTTAGTTCCGTTTGATAGAAATACGTCCAATTGCTGGTCTCAATTTGGCTCAACTGAGCCATACATTTCAGAAGACGTTCATAAAGGTGTGAGACAAATACGTGTAAATTTTGAAGGTATTCGAAGCACTCTGTAGGTCCGATTGAAATCCAGAACTTTAAACTGTTTTTTCTTCTTCTTTTTTTTTTCGAAATGATAAAAACTGCATTTATGCACCTTGTCTTCCAAGCCCCTAAAAAATGACTGCCCTCAATTGATATGAGTAAAGTGTCCTCAAATTAAATTATTCCAAAACGCAACTTGCACGTTAGCAACTCGGCGAATCTTGATTCCAGATGAGGATAACGAAAGATGACATGTGGATCCGAACATACGGGCGTCTGTACCAAAAACTGTGTTCTACTACCTGTGAGATTCCCATCGGTATTTATCGAACTCAAGATTCGACAAATATAGAATCACCTCACGTAAGTAACCCCACTTTCATCCGAAAGCATGTATTTCTGATATCAAAGCACACGAGTTATTGTCCCTGAAAAACCTCCCAGCGTTTGAATTGCATTTTGCGCATCCTCCTCTCTTTATTGTTACGATAGGGATTATTTTTTTGTAATGTTTTGCTATGCTATGGTGATTTTGGAATGAGACTCGTCGCAGAAAAAGCGCTTAAAACTGTGGGCACACTAAATATCCAGGAGAGTTGGAGGTCAAAAGTGTTGCACCAGTACCTAAAGTATCGGCGTTCATATTATATTCACGACCTCTTTAGAAGGAGTCTGTGATGAATTACGAAGACAGTTACGGTCAGATATAAGTAAATGGAGAATTTGCCAAAAAAAAAAAAAAAAAAAAAAAAAAAAAAAAAAAAAAAAAAAAAAAAAAAAAAATCGTATTGCTTTATATGAGAGTGCTCAATGAGCTGAGTTCGCAGTACTTTTCATGATTTTTCTGATATGGGGAATTGCAGAAAAATAGATTTAAAACTGAGAACATTTACCGCCTTGTGAATCACTTAGCGGCATTTCCCATTGAAACACATGTTATAGCTGATTCAGTTGTTTTGTCATATTTCCTCCAATAATTGTTCAATTCAATAGCATTTTCGTGCTTAATTCTCTCAGTAGTTTCATCTTAAACATGAAATTCGCCAAATTTCAGTCGCATGCAAACTCTCCATCGTTGCAGTTGTTTCTTTCTGTAACTTTGTTCAATGAATGCCAATCTCTTCGCACTTACTACCCAGTTTTAGTGCAAAAATTTCTGTGACTGCGTATTCTTTGCGAACCTTAAACTCACATCTTTACGGTATAAACTTTTTCTAAATTGTTGTCGGCAAACGACGCGAAAGTATATTGCGAGCAGTTGGTAATCGAGCATGTGTTATTTTCTCAAACCGTTTTTTGAGAATGACAGTTTTTCTGCAACGCGTCACAAAAAGACCATCTGTTTAATCGAATGCGAGAATGATCCGAAAATGCTTGTTTCCAAGGTTAATGTGCTGATCCGGTAAGTTTTGAGTTTCAGTCGTTGAATTTTAGTTTTTACATTCACTTATTTTTTTTTAACAAAATCAACGAAGACGTTCGCATAGACGTATTCCGATATGCAGATATTTACGTCACCCAAATATTTTCATGCCATGAGTGCAACCTCGAGGGTTATGGTTTAACTTTTTGGCAATCGATGTCTTTTAATGTCATCTTTTCTCTCTTTTTATAGGATTTAACTGAGGAAGATATTAGTAGTAAATCTAAAAAGGTATGTTCCTCGTTTGCTTTTGTGTTGTGTGTTAGAAAGGTTTTAATTAAAAAAAAAAAACTTCTAAATTCAACAAGTACCAATGTAATTAAGCCAGAAAAATTCATAAATTCATTAGCTTTAATGACGTAAAAATAGTTCACGACAAACAAATGACTCGTTAGAGACGAAAAAAGATAAAGAAAATCATCAAAAATACAAAGAACAGGGCCGGTTGTACAATCTAATGTCGAGACAATATCGGAAGCGTACCAACCGAGAGAAAATTAAAAAGTAATAAACGCCAATTGTCTAAAGCCAAAAAGAAAGAAACTTTTTTTCAAACGTGCGAGACTTCACAGTTCCGTCCAGGAGCTTAGCATGAATTTGACAGCTCCTATATAGATTATATTCGATACATCAAACCGGTATAATTGTATCGATGTCGATTGGTTCAACCAGTAAACATAGCCTCAGAAGTCAAATGAGTAGTCAGAGGGAACGGGTTTTTTGTGATAGTCGTTTGATTCTTAAGAGCATAAGATGGTAATGAAAATTGAAGTTGTCAGAAATTTTCTCATTTTCAGCTTTTCCGGCTGAAATCCTAAAATGTATGTTTGAGATTATGTTCTATTGTTCGAACCAAATACGATACATCAAACGACTATCGAATACGATCCACCCAAGCCGAAACAAATTGACCTGAGTCTTGCCAAAAACTAGTGGCCCGCGAATTGTACGGGCCCGGTACGTACGATCTTTAGATATGGGTCTGCGAATACATCCTAAACAAAGAATCAGACATCAAATTGAAGAAAGAGAAAAAAAGTCGAGTTTCAACACAGCCGAAGTTAGGAGAGACGTGATGGAACCTCCTTTCTTCACTTCTCTCCCTAATCTGAGCGACATCAGAGCGGAGCATTGCGAGTTAACGCCTCACGCCCTCGCGCCTTCAATTTTGCAAATGCTACACGGACATCCGTCAAGTACGAATAGTTGCATCTCTGCGCCGTCACCAACGCGCTTGGAGGCGTCTCTTATTTATGGAATTTAAAAAAAGTTAAGCCTGAGTTTGCTCAAAATATACTGTGATGTGTACTGCTCTACATGAGAGTGAAGGAATCCGTCTTATTTTACGAAAGCGTAAGCACACGAATCTTCGCTCGCGAAAAGAGCAAAATCGATGTATATTAGATGGGTCATCACAAATAAACTTATTTTTTGGCGAGCAAGTAAGGTTGGGCTGTACAGACATTTCTCTCTTTTCCTTATGCAGACAATTTGTTTTTATAAGATGTATATAAAAAAAAGAACAAAATAACAAAAAAAATAAACAACGTAAAACATGGTGCATTATAATCCAGATTTTCAAAATTCACACATAGGTATATTTTTTATGGTGTAGGATGCGGTTGTACACTGGAAAAAAGAGTTACGGGCCATATAGACTTACCGTCCGTTCCGGACACAGGTGCTAAGAGTTCCAGATGCTGGAGCCGTAGCTTCGATTGCTCCGGGTGCTACACCCGGAACTTTCAGTCTCTGAGCCCGGAACGCGGACGGTATGTCGACATAGCCCGTAAGTACGGCTTCCGCGGCCGGAGGATTTTTTTTTCAGTGTATTTTGACGTAAAAGGATCCTTTCTAAGTGTATGATTGTGTGCTCACAACTTAGGAACCAGACCCTGAATCGTATATGCCTATACCGACCAACTGTTTCCCGGGCACCTGTAATCGATCTCCGTACACCGTAAGTGCTGTCTCCGTAAGCATTTCACGTAGCGTATCATACTTTACGCTACGTGCAAGCCTTGTTCTATGCACGCGTTTTATGCTTCACGCATTACAAAATTTAACGCTTTCCGCATTACAAGATTTAACGCTTTACGCATTTTATTCTCGCCTCTTCCGCTGCATGCATTTCGTGCTCTTAAATAAAACCGCTGCTTCAGCTGCTCACATGAGCAGTATGAGCATTCCTTACGTACTGTATACTATTCAAGGAGGCTTTACCATCAACTTCTCCCCAATGGATCTATCAGCCTCCGTTTTGCTTGCAACAAGGTCTGCTCACTATTCTACTCCTGCACTGAGCATATAAAAACTTTACAAAACTTGAGATTGGATGAGTTCGAGTGAGTTTAGATACCTGTTAACATCTTGGGCGAAAATCGCCTGAAGTAAATCATGAAAAACTACTCTAAAAATCCTCATAATGCACGAAGATTTTTCTTCTGTTTTTGACGCATGCTTTTCTGCGTGGGAGTTTTGGATTTGCTCTTGGTACTTGCATTTTTTGTCTCGATCATGTTTCCTTACCTTTTTTTGGGCCGAGGCCGAATGATGCACATCCATATGCACCCACGCGCAAATAAATATTTTATCAGTTCATTTTTATTTTAGCAATGGGTAAAATATTCAATTCATGAGAAGAGTTATATTACAGCTCACAAGGAATAATGATTATATAGATACGACGCCACGAATGACGCTGTTAACAACGCAACCGAGCGTATTCCCTTGAGCTAGATTCTGGCAAGGAATACTTGAAGAATGAAGTCACACTTGAATTTCTCTTCTTTTGGGTTTCTTTTTGTCTGTTTTTTTAAGGCTTGAAATGTCTTTTTTTACTGAATTGTCGCGCATCGGAAGATTGAAATCAAGTGAAATATGAGCTCATTTTTGAGATTTCTGATGAATTCGTCAATTTCGTTCGCATGCAAATTGTTACTTCGTGCCCAATTCAACAATTTCGCATGCAATTTTCCGTTAATTTCGTTCGTATGTAAGAAAAACATTGGATTCAGACACTGCTAACATATATCAACGGTGAAAAATTCAAACTACGTATCTCGGTGTGAGACGCTGTAGACTTATTGCCATACTTCATTATTTTAATGTAAAACTACTCAACGGAAATTCTGACAAAGTCACGTGTTTTTTCATCCTTGTGCGGAGAAAAATCCGTGGAAAATTCAAGGAATGATGTTGATTTTCTCTCTTTTAAGAAAATAAAATAGGAGCGGAGATTTTAAAACACCGTAACCGAAATACGTGGTTCGGGAGTTTCATCGTCTTTATGCAACGTAGACAGCCACCAAGTAGGAATAATTGCATGAAGGCATTGTTACCAACGTTCCTCACGCAGGTGTGCTTACCAGCAGATAAGTACAAGAGCACTTCAAGTATACCTCGTTGAACACCGTTATTTATGTCGATTTTTCACAACACAGATAAGTACGTCATTAGTTTAATATATCAGCCTCACTCCTTCACATTTTGATAAGTTCGTCTTGCATTTGTTGAACCTTAACAGTTTTAAACGTAGTGTAGCTCCTCGCCCGTTATTTTCATAATCAATCAAGTAGTGCATGTTAATTACATAAATCTTAAAGGCTTTATTATATCATATTAGCCTCATTACGACACCTGATCATGAGGAAGATGGATTGAATCAAGTTAATTCACCAAAACTTCACAGGATGCTTCTTTTTTATCCTTAACACGGTGCATCGCAGGCAGTGCCGTGGCGTGAATTGCGATGCATCGATTGTCATGCCATTTAAACCTATGGTAAAGAATCGATTATTAAGGTGTTCGCTGCGAACACCCTGTTTATCGATCCTTTTCCATAGGTTTAAATGGCATAACAATCGATATATCGCAAAGCGCGCCACGCCACTGACGCAGCCTTCTATACCCGAAGACGGCGATAATATTGAATATGTAAGAATAAATTTTTGGAAGTATCGTATTTTTTACGGAGATACTAGATCATTCTCCATTTTTGTTATTCTCGTAACTTGTAAGAGGAAAGGTGCATATTCCAAAATCAGCCAATAGCTAGAGTTCATCCCGTGGAAATCGATGGCTATGAAAAGCATATAGCGTCAACTGACCTGTAAAAATTGATGTACGAAGTAACAATTTACAAAAAGAAGTCCCCAATGTACATTCACTCCCCCTCTCCACATTTGTAAAAATCCTAAAGATCAATCTCAGAAATATCTTTTTCCATGCATGAATTCTCAACATCAAATTTGTATACATCGACCTCTGTCAGATATCGGAAGTGAAATAAAATGTAAAGACATATCGCTAGGTCAAACTTTTAAGGAAGTGACAGAATTTTGACTTCCACGGCTTCTCATGTTACCCAATTTTACCACTTAGCGTGAAATAAGCTACGAAATTCGAGCTGAGAAATTTCAACTGACTTATTAGTGATTTTTTAAGTTACTCCTCCAAAGTCAACATTACGTCGTAAACTTTCAATTTCTCGATACGAATGTTCAAACTTTATCTCTTTACTGCCAACAAGTTATCGGAGGGAGGATATCTAAAGTCACAGATTTTGAAGTTTTTTCTTCTATTCTTTCCTTGAAAATACAGTTACGTCATCGTATATGCTTAGTTTCTTTCTTTCACAATCGGTTCTTTCTCTTAATTTTTTACCTGTAAAATCGAATTTTGGTTCGGTTTTCCGCGCGAAAATTTTTCCACTTTTAAGCAGCTTTTCCTCCGCGACAAGAATCACAAATTTATTTTATTCGTATAGTTTTCTTTTATTACCCTTTTTGGTGGTGTTTGGGGACCGAGAAAATGTTCGACTTAAGCGAGATTTCGTCTTCACCGTAGTTATAGACTTAGCAGTGGAGCATTTGCATGTGTCAAGAATTTGCAATTTAAGTACTAATTCCTACGTAAAATTTCGCGAGGAGCACGATGGTACCAGGGTACCACTGTGGTTTCTCTCAAATCAACTCCAAAACACTCAAAAGTTCTCAAAGTTGAGGCCGTAATAGAGAGGATATCCTACCACCCTGACAGTCCACCTCCATATCAAGACGAATCTCTATGCAAAGATAAGGAGCTAATAAATAAGCAGGGTTGCCGTGTTTTGAGTTTTGGAGTCCTTCAACCAAATGGCAACCCTGTCAATGTATGTAATCCCTCACGGTTCGTTTCAGAGGGAAGTAAATAAAATAGTGTTGCCCACTCAAAATTCCTTCGGGATCTTGAAGTAGGATGCATACACAGTCATTTAAGCCTAAAATGAAAATATTCTGTCGAGCTCTTCGAAAATAAAATCGATGTTTGTGTTTTTGGCGCTAAAATGGCCTTCAAAAACGATCAATGATTCAATTCCGATGGGTTTTTGCATATGCAAAATGGTACATGTATGATGAAATCTACGTATTTTTGGACCAGAAATCGATTGAGCAGGGTCCCGAATCGGTCCGAAGCTTCATTGACCGAAAAATGGGCCTTTTTTGGGATTTTAGGGATGTTTTGGGCCCATGTTTTCCCAATTTTGTCGTGAGAAAATCTGTGCCGTCATGGGTATTGATTATCAGGTAATTTCGGGCGAGAAATCGAATGCGCTTGGTCCCGAGTCACTCCGGGGCTTCTTAGGCCGAAAAATTTTTCTCGGCTTGGTTGGGTTAAGATTATTTGTTTGACCGAAAAAGGAGGAAAAATAGTTATTCTGCATATATAATTAATATTATAAATCCACAAGAGGAGTTCATTTTTCGAGTCCAAATTTATACCGTCTCTTCATAAAGCGCATACGATTTCTCGTCAGAAGGTCTTTGAAAAAGAGAAATTGATGTGTACGGCATATTTTCTCGGTCGAAATAAAAATTATTGATAGGAATACCGCTGATACCGCCGGTGGATGTATTCCTTTGGATATCTCGTGATTGATATTGATTTGTTACGTTGCAGCACTAGAAATTGAACTAGATCTCATGATCAGAGAAATATGTATTTGGAAAATTTGTCCAAGTATCATGAAAAAGAAATATTCCTCATACACAAACCACAACTTACTTATTCAGGAGTCTCATTTTAAAGTCAAAGAAAGGCCAATTTCAGCATCCAGTTTGAACATAAAAGACAAAAAATATTTTCAAAGCTCTTCCGGAGCTCCACCTGGGCCTACTGCGTATTCTTGGATTAGGAAGCCCCGGATTGACTCGTGACCAAGCGCATTCGATTTCTCGCCCGAAATTACCTAATAATCAATACCCATGACGGCACAGATTTTCTCACGACAAAATTGGGAAAAAATGGGCCCAAAACATCCCTAAAATCCCAAAAAAGGCCCATTTTTCGGTCAATGAAGCTTCGGACCGATTCGGGACCCTGCTCAATCGATTTCTGGTCCAAAAATACGTAGATTTCATCATACATGTACCATTTTGCATATGCAAAAACCCATCGGAATTGAATCATTGATCGTTTTTGAAGGCCATTTTAGCGCCAAAAACACAAACATCGATTTTATTTTCGAAGAGCTCGACAGAATATTTTCATTTTAGGCTTAAGTGACTGTGTATGCATCCTACTTCAAGATCCCGAAGGAATTTTGAGTGGGCAACACTATTTTATTTACCTCCCTCTGAAACGAACCGTGCCCTATCTTCGAATGCAGAGCTTGTCCTGGTATAGAGGTGAACTCTCAGGGTAGCGGGATATCCTCTCTACCACAGCCTCAACTTTGAGAGCTTTTTTGTGCTTTAATTGGAGTTGATTTCAGAGGAAGCCATTCATTGTGCTTCTCACAAAATTATACGTAGAATTAGTACTTGAATCGCAAATTCCTGACAAGCTCCACCGCTATAATAGTCTATAAACTACGGTAAAGACGAAATCCCGTTCAAGTTAAAAATTTCTTCGGTCCCCAAACTCCTTCAAAAAGAGCAATGCAAGAATACTATAAATAAAACGAATTTGTGATTCTTGTCGTGGAGAAAATACTGCTTAAGTTGAATAATTTTCGGAAAGCCCTGACAAAATTTGATTGTGTACCTAAAAAATTAAGAGAAAGAACCGATTTTAAAAGAAAGGAACAAAGTATATGATGACGTACACTGGAAACAAAACACATCGGATCTAGAGTCCAGACTCTTGAATACATTGACAAGAAAAAATACCCTTGATTCGATCGGATTTTTGCTTGAATCAAAACGAAATCCGCTTAAATTAAGAGGCTTGGTTCTTGATTTAAGCTAGATTCTGATTGAATCAAGAGTACTTCTTCTTGTCGATGTTTTTAAGAGTCTTGAGTCTAGATCCAATGTGTTTTTTTTTCCAGTGTAATTGTATTCTTTAGGGAAGCGTGACATTTTTGACTCGTGCACGAGCTCTATTCACTGTGAAGAGGACAGGGAATGGACCACTAGACAAGGTACGAATTTCAGCATTCTGATACATGTTTCTTAACTAAAATTACACGTAAAACACGATGCGCACAACAAAAATTACCGAAATTAACTCCTGACGAAGATATTTAATGATTCTTGATGCGTGAATTCAAACCACCCGCTCATGAAAACTCAATGCTCTACGTGATTCACATCGCGTGCTAAACGTTATCATGACAGTCTCTGCGATATAAAAATCTGGCAACCTCAATCTTGACGCTTTGGCTCAGTTATAGCAGATTGCTAATAGTTTGAACAGCACATGGTGGGAAATGAACGTTGCTCGATTGAGGAGCTTGCTGAAACCGTTGTAGTGGGCGATTTGACTCACGTAGAGCTTTGAGTTTCTTGTGAGCGGGCAGTTCAAATTCCTCGTAACCTATGTGAAATAAAAACGTTAATATCTTCGTTAGGAGTTGGTTTTAATAATTTTTTGTTGCGCGAATCGTGTCCTACGTGCAATTCTGGTTAAAAAATATGTATCAGAATGCCTAAATTCGTACCTTGTCTAGTGGTCCATTGTATTCTTTAGGGAAGCGTGACATTTTTGACACGTGCACGAGCTCTATTCACTGTGAAGAGGACAGGGAATTGTGACTGAACTTGCTTTTTGCAGTTTTCCGTGAACGTGGGGGACGAGGCACGGGACAATCACAATCAGATGATCGAGAGGGCCGAGATTGCGAACTTGGTGCGCTCCAGGATGGAGAGCCTCAACCTGCCCGGCATCGACTACGAGGACGTCAGCGAGAAGCGAAACAGTTTGTCCTACGTCATCATCAACCCTAGCTGTGATTTAAAATTAGAAGAAGGAGATATCATGTAAGTCAAATACACCCTCTAAAATGCTCAGTATGCCAACTCTTAACATGTAATGAAGCTATAGAGTACATAGAGTCGTAATGTAAATGGAAGAGCTGGCGCCATGTTCAGCTCGACGAATTCCGAGCCCGGTGTGCGCCGAGTTCGGGTCACTTTTTCGATACATTTTCGATCCAAAATGGCGGTGTGGAATACGTGGTGATTCCTATCTCCTTTGTTGTTGTGATCGGATGGCCGGGTAACCGTGTATCGCAAACAATCGATTAGGTATCGAAAAAGTGACACGGCGTCACACAGGAGTCTCGGAATTCGGGACATTGAAAATGCTTAAAAGTGGCGCCAGCTCTCCCACTTACATTACGACTCTATGTACTCTATGAATAAAGCTTGAATGAGGGGAAAAATGAGAAACTAACTTTTTTATGTAAAATAGTATAAATCAATAATTAAGTGCGAAATCTTAACTTAAATCAAAGGACAAGGAGACCCTTTAGAATTTCACAAACCAGCCAGCTCAATTGATTTTGTTTGTGAAATTGGGGAGAGTCACACTCCTCTTACACTGGAGTCGTTTCACGTGAAATCAATGAGCCTCCATAAAATTTGTCGCCCAACCGGCTCAAAAATTGTTAAAACTGTATTCGTATTTTGCTCGAAATAACAAAGTGTTTCTGTTCGTATTTCTTGTTTTTTCACGTTGCGTTATTTTGGGGAAACATAATCCTCTCTGAGTACGCTGCAGTTGTTGTACGATAGGATTCAGAGGTGCAAAATCTCTAAAATCCTTTAAGATCCTAGGATTGCAGGCTCGGGGTGCACACTAGTCGGAAATGGTGTGGACCGCGGTAGGTCCGCTACCGAGTTATTACGAATTCGCTCTGTCGTGAACGCGCAATGCTTGAAGTATTCCTACAGTCTTGTAGGCGCTAATAATGCGTCTCTCGCCGACCAGCGACCGCACTGTGTTTGGCGCAATGCGTGAAGTATTCCGGCAGTCTTGTAGGCGTTAATAATGCGTCGACCAGCGGCCACACTATGTTTGGCGAGACTAGAAGTGACGATACAGCATTAGATTTGAAAGGAACTGTGGAAATAGAGGAGAGATAATAAGTTTGATGAATGGCTGGATTTTATGAAACGGTTCATGTAGAGTGCAGACAAAAATGCGAGTAAATTTTCACCCGTGAAAAAGAGACTTACAGCGGAGAGAAATTTTGACGTTAAGGCACAGTGTTTATTTTGCCAGTAAAGAATTGCACTGAAGAGTTTGAAAAGGAAATGAGGGCAGATTTGCGTCAACAAGTAAAAAAGTTCTCACCTAAAAATGTAAAACTACACTTTTTTTAAAAAAATTGAAAATCTTAAAAAGAATAGGTTGAAAACAGGTACAAACACTTGCTTAAACACACTTGCTACAGGCTTAAAGGAATAGGCGTGGATACTCGCTCAAATTTCCATCAATTCCCGATCAAATGGTGACTGGTGCGCACCATCTACCATTAAATCTTTGCTGCCTGCAAAAATTTGATGGTAGGTGATGGAACTGTGGGTCTCATCCTTCCTCTCATTTCCACGCAACCGTGCTTATTTCAACCAACACACTGTTTTCATTAATTTTATTTCAAACTCTCGACCGCCATTTTTGTCATCATTTTGATCGGGACTTGACGGCAATTATTGAACGTGTATCCAGACCAAATGGACGTAGTTCTGTCAAACGGAACTAAGCGCCAATTTGAGTTCCTTTTGAGGAATTCAGAATACCAGATAGCGCGCTCTGTCAAACGGAACTAAGCGCCATGGAAAAGCATTGCGAGTATAGGACGGAATGAACTCGACGCCCGATTCCGCCGCCAATCCAAGCCCCCCTCTATCTTCCTCCCCCAATGGCGCTTAGTTCCGTTCCACAGAAATACGTCCAAATGGACTTTTTGATTGATTTTTTTTTAATAATGATTTTATTTATCAGATAACAACTTTGAAACAAGACCGACAGCCAGTCTTGCTCGAAATTGGGAAGAAGTGCAATTGACATAGTAATTGTGCAAAATAGATTAAATTACTTACATATAGCTACATATCAACTATCTATTTAGTTATATTGTGCATTTCATGTCTCTGCCTATTTACTTATTTTCATTTAATTCTTTTTAAATAATAGAGTTGCAATCATTATTCACGGAACCGTCTAAGACACTACTTCGGGAGGGTACATTATTATTGATTGGGAATGAGTTAATACTTCCATTTAAAATCTTGTTCTTCTTATTTAAAATGTGTGTTGATTGATTTGCGGGGTGTTGTTGTTGACAGCTACCTGATCCGGCCGAGCCCGTTCTCGGCGCAGAAGACGTTCGAGCGGCACAACTCGCGGCGGAAGTCGAACATCAGCTTCTGCTCGCAGCTGGGGCTCTTCGGGGGGTCGAGCGGGGGGCCCGGGGGGCCGGGGTCGCGGCGGAACTCGGGGCTGACGTTCACCCTCCCGCGGCCGCCGCCGCTGGTGACGACCAAGGCCAACTCCCTCTCGCTCCCGGACAGCCCCACCGTGGCCGGCTGCCTCCGGGCCCGCTCCAACTCCCTCCGCATGGAGGAGATCCTCCTCCGCCGCTCCAGCTCCCTCCGCCAGGGGCTCGCCTCCCCCATGGCCATGGCCACCCGGAAGAGCAGCCTCGAGGAGCTCGGACATGGCTCCCACTTCCCCATGTTCACCGCCGAGCGGAGGCAGAGCATTCAGGTATGTTATACTCATCTTCTCCTCAGTGGCGTGGCGTGCTTTGCGATATATCGATTGTTATGCCATTTAAACCTATGTAAAAGGATCGATTAACAGGGTGTTCGCAGCGAACACCTTAATAATCGATTCTTTACCATAGCTTCAAACGAGGAAATATCGATAGTCGATCATTCACGCCACGCCACTGCTTCTCCTCCGTCCCACAGTGGATCGCATGGATTTGCATACACGATTTTTATCGCTTCATCTGGAAGTGCTTGAAAAGCTGATTTCACAGTATTCTTTATGACTTTTTTTTGACATGGGAAACAGTACAAAAATCGATTTAAAAGTGAGAAAATGCACCGCCTAGTGACTTCATCCGGCGGCGTTTCCCATTTAAACACACGTATTTTAGCAGATTAGATCATTTTGTCACATCTTCTCCAATAATAGAGCATTTGCAGGTGTCAGAAATTCGATGAATTTCGTGTTTAAGTGGAAACTACTGAGTGAACTGAACATGAGGATACCCTTGGTTCATGATTTGAACGATAATCGGAGAATAAATGACAAAATGATCCAATCTGCTGAAATACATGTGTTTAAATGAGAAATGCCGCATGATGACGTTACTGGGCGGTGCATTTTCTCACTTTTAAATCGATTTTTATACTATTTCCCATATCAGAAAAAATTTATAAAAAATACTGCGAAATTAGATCTTCAAGCACTTTCAGATGAAGCAATAAAAAATTTGCATGCAAATTCTCCATCGTTCAATTTATGAACCAAGGGTATCCTCCGGTTCAGTTCACTCAGTAGTTTCCACTTAAACACGAAATTCATCAAATTTCAGATCCCTGCAAATTCTCAATTAGAGAGGGTCGGACATGAAATTTTTGAAAAACAACTGCGAATTTTGATGTTAATTTTGTCTTATTTTAAAGTTCAAGGGGTGTTTCTAGAAGAAAATTTCACGGGGAAGCCAATAGAACCACTTTTAGAACATCAAAGTTTGGCATAAACGGAGTTATGAGCGTTTAGAGTTTCCAAATTCTGTCCGACCTCTCCTATTGACTCGATCCACTGCGCGTCCTCGCATCCGAGGAAGAACACCGCATGAGCCTTCAAACCGTCATAACTTTTTTTTTCAACCAAATGAGCTGATCTTGATCTCGTCAGAAAGCTGGTTCGATGGTGAAACTACCAAGCCACGTATCTCGTTTTAGGTGTTTAGAAATATCCGCTCCCATTCTTTTATTTTGAAGGAGAGCCAATCAATATCATTCCTTGAAGTTTTCAAGGAGTTTTTCTTGCTCAGAAAAGTAAAACTACGGAAGTTTTCGAGAATTGACGTTGAGTAGTTTCCTATTTGTAAAATGAAGTATAAATGTACTGCATTTTGCAATTTGGACCTATAAATTCTGGCTCATCTGAAAAAACACTTATGTGCATAGGGAAACTAATGGCTTATACGTTGTTTTTAAACCGGGCCGGAATTTATACGTCCAAATTGCAAAATGCAGTCCAAATGGAGGTCTGTGGCGTCTCACCATCGATTTGTCTTGTCGTTCAAAGAAGACCAAGAAAACGCTTTTACTTAGGTCTTACTTTTGAAGTTATAGCATTAGGACCGCCTCTAGCAAAAAGGAACCAAGTCACATCAGCTATTGCCAAATCTGACTGGGCAGTTTAATTTTTTACAAGAAAACGTTTGTGCGGATTCCTATGGAAATTCTAGGGAATTTGCTTCACTTCGCAAAAAATTCACTGAAATTCTCACAAAAATTCGCACAACAGTTTTCATGAAAAAAATCCGATTGCCCAATTAAATTGCAATAACTGATAAGGCTTGGTTCCTTTCTGCTGAATGCAGTCCACTTGTCCCCTTACGTTTTGAAAAGCTTATGTACCATCACTGGAAAAAAAAAAACACATTGTATCTAGAGTCCAGACTCTTGAAAATATTGACAAGAAAGAGGACTCTTGATTCTATCAGATTTAAGCTTGAATCAAAAGGAAATCCGCTCAAATTGAGAGGCTTAGTTCTTGATTTAAGCTTAAATCTGATTGGATCAAGAGTTTTTTTTCTTGCCGATGTTTTTAAGAGTCTGGACTCTAGATTCAATGTGTTTTTTCCAGTAATCGATGAAACCTCTTCCGGTCGCATTCTTCCAATACTTGTCATGTTTCTAATTTTTTTTCTTTCTTTTTTCTACTCAGCCGTCCGACACAGCCATCAAGATCGCACTCAATGGGAGCATTGGACTGGAAGTGACACCGCCGGAGGAAGTGAGTTCACCGTCAATCACGAGCAACACAGGGCTGGTGTCCTCCCACCCCTCCCCCACTCCGTCACCGAGTCAAAACGCAGAACACCTCCAGGGAACGATCGTATGATATAATCTAATGTGGGGCAGGAGGCTCTCTAGTGCTTTCCGAAACAATAAATGGATTTAAACATCCGTTTAAACCTGCTCCACACTCCCTTTTAGAGCCCTATTTGGAAATGATTTCAACAGGGATAGAATTAAGACCAGAGCACACATCTTTCATCAATTACACTCTTTCACCGCAGAAAGCACGGGAAAAAGTAGATAGGGGTTGTCGGATGGTACGGGCATTTCCGATCAATTGTGGTTGTTCCCCAATAAATTATGTCACTAACCAAAATGTTGCCCAGTTTGAGCTGCGACACGACCACAATTAATTGGAAATGATCATTTCATTCAACTAATTGGGGTAGCAACACAAATTCAGGGGATAACTCCTGACTTTTTTTTTCCGTGCGGATTTATAATTAAGAAAATTTCGGGGGGGGGGGGGGGTTGCTGAGGGACCTAACCGGCTAAGAAAGTCTGTGAAATAGCAAAAAATTCATTTTCGAACGATCTCTTCCCCGCCCCTCGAGTTAGGTTAGGTTAAATCCTCTCTCGGGACGCACTGAACATTAACCGCAAGTTTCTGCAATATTGAAAAGACTTCTGCGAATTCACAAGAGATTGACAAATTTCCGTAAATTCTTTTTATCATCAAAATTGCATCTGCCCTTTAAAGAAGTCATATTCAATTGAAATTTACTTTTGAAAAACCACGATCGTTCCGAATTTTCAATTTATTTTAACCTCCCAGAGTTCTGTAATGTCAAAGTTTGCAGTGCTAATTAAAACCCAGATTACGTTTTGCCGCAATTCCTCGTCAGAGAACTTCAGAGGACGCATTGTTCACAACGCTTTGTATCTGTCCTAAAAAGATTCAGTTATTTTATTTTCGGTCCAGAGTGTTCATATTTTTTATTCTATCCCTGTGAAATCTGAAAAATTTTCCCCCTAGATTTCCTTGATTTTTGTGATCTTTGCGAAATAATTACTCCTAAAATATCCCTTCATTCGTGTGCTAGCTTTGCACTGATGAATCGGATTTACGTGAGCCTTGTTTTAAAGTATTCATTTAACTCGTATTGCTAAAAATATGATGGAATTGAGTGCAAGAGAATGATTTTAAGTCGTACATATTTGTTTTTTGAGCGATTTAAGGATTATAGATACAAAAGTTTGCACCATTTCTAAATTATCCTTTCCGATATATGTACAGCTGTGTTTTTTGGGCGCATTAAAATAGAGTAATCGGTAAAAGCCGCGTGTCAAATTTTGTATCAAAATTTACGGAAGTACTTAAAGCTTTTATGGAACTAATTGAAAGTTATGAGAGCATGTATATTTCTATTTTGTTACGTTTTGAATGAAGTTTTTAAATAGGGACCATTTTTGACTTCGCCAATCATGTATGTAAGTAACCGAGGTATGTTATTATCGAAAATTATATAGCATCTTAAATTTCGATACTTTAATTTTTTAAGTATTTCTCTCACATTCCTGACGAATTAGAGGTTTAAGTGTGTTTAATGGGAATGCATAGTAAAACTATTTTTACCTCTCATAGATACCGTCTATAAATACAATTTCATCTCAATCGCTCATACTTATTTTTCGCTTATAGGCACTGATCTCATAAACATCTATCTTTTTTACGTTAAATTAACTTCAAAGAGCTGTGAAATTTAATTAATTGCCCCGAAATATGTGCATATGATTCCGGCATATGTGCAAACGCTTTGTTGAGTATAGATGGCTACAATTATTAGTCTGTGAAATATTTTCAATTAGTGTAACTTGCCAAGGGATCCAAACCTTGTTTCTATTTTTATTTCAATATGCTGGTTGCGAGGAAAGCTCTTCATTTTTTGCTTTTTTATAGAAGCAGCAACTAGTTTTCATTTTTTGGGGGGATATACCTACTCTATGGAAGCGGCATTGAAATAACTACGAAAATGTGGGAAAGGTGGGAGACAAATGATAATGCTTTACAAAACGGGTTGACCCGTTTTATAACATGCTAGAGGCTAGACCACTAAAAGTTTCATTATCCAAAAAAAAAAAGAACCAAATTTTCCAAACCCTTCTAGTCACAGAAAATGATATTGGAATACATATGAATATTAATACCTATCAGTACTGAACCAACTGAGATAGATGTATTAATACCTAAGAGTACACAATATCGCTTTGCAGAATTTAATCTATGCTTAAATCTGAAGTAGCAAAATCGCTGACTGCCGTGCCTGGATTTTGCAAGTTGGATTAGGTATATCCTCCATTAAGGAGAAAAAGTTGCCACAGGAAAAGTTGTCATTATCAGCTCAGTGAATTGAGAGTATATGGTTTGGTTCCTTTTATTTTAAAGAAAAATTATTATGTTTTCATAAATGCGCATCATTAAAACCCAAATCAATGGAATCATTTTCGAGAAGCTTTTCAGAAAACTGCATGATATTCTTCCCTTCTGAAAATGGAGAAGGAGAAAGAAATATCACGATCATGATACAATCTTCTTGACTCTCACGATTAATATTCCTGCTTTCGTGAAATTTAATATTAAGCATCCTTGTTCGGTTTTCACACGAGTAATAGAAGGAAGGAGTGATTGAGAATCACAAATATTGTCTTAAAATCTGGTACACTGGCAAAAAAAACACATTGGATCTAGAGTCCAGACTCTTAAAAACGTCGACAGGAAAAAGTACTCTTGATTCAATCAGAATCTAGCTTAAATCAAGAACCAAGCCTCTTACTTTAAGCGGATTTCGTTTCGATTCAAGTAAAAATCCGATTGAATCAAGAGTATTTTTTCTTGTCAATGTTTTCAAGAGTCTGGACTTTAGATCCAATGCGTTTTTTTCCAGTGCATAGTGTTTCAAACGTAATCTATTTTTTCCCCGGATGCTATAAATTTACATATAGACACGCTCATAGTTTTTTTCTGTGGGAGGGAGTGTTTTATTATGACATCGATAAAACACAATCGAAAAGCATAAGCTATTCAGTCATCTCGTGTTCTATCGGACTAATGAGAGTTTAGTCAATGTGAAATTCGATTGTCTTGGTCCTAACTTTTCTTTTTCATTCCTTGTACATTACTTTTTTTTCAAAAGGAGCGCAATCTGTAACAATTTTCTCTAAGTGTCCTTAAGAAATTTTACTAATCTACTTGTGTAAATAAGTTATGTACACATGTTACACACTTTGTTAAAATATCAGTAAATAGATATATAATTTATTGTAATAGAATTTAGTTGAATATTTTTCTTTGTTACATCATCTTAAATCTAAAATATATATAATAATTTCAGTTTAATACGCTTAATTTGTGTTCATTACCCTCAACGCTTTGGTCGGATGAGCTGTTCCTGCCAGCTCTGCCATGCCCGTCCAAGAGTGACCGTCTACTTACCAAGCAACGCTTTTCCCCCCATTTCTTAAAGGCAAAAAACTCGGAAATTGATGGATTCTCTAGTTTTCAAATACTTCGACTTTTCATAGTTCCCAAGCGTTTCGTAATTCTGGGCTTACCTAAGTGACGCATCGTAATGCAAACTTAGACCCCCCTCGCATTGCATGCCGTATGTGGACGGCCTCACAAACTGGAAAAATCATGTCACTTCAAAAAAACAGCACACGCATGCTTCCGCCACCGGTAAATGCGTAGGTACCACCTAAGCCGAAACGCCTTCAATTTTTTAGATATGCAATACAGACAGTCGTGGAGCTGGAATAGTTGTATCTACGTGTTGTGGACGGCACGCGTCCGTTGTTCTGCTTCTTAACGCACGCCGCGTCGTCTACTGCCGAGCTAAGGAAAGACGCACTCACGATGAACATTCGAGGGTATTGCCAAATTGCATTCTACAATCTGTATTTGTAAAGACAGTCGTGAAAATTCCTCTTGAAACTTTCAGATAATTTAGATCTGATTTCGAATAAAATTCTCCTAAAAAAACTAAATTCTCAGGTTTCCCTGGAAATTCGTACAAGGAACTGTAGCAACATCTGAGGGCTCATACGGTGTTCTCCTCCCTAAAAGTGGACCAAATAGACCGCACTAGACAATAAAGTACACAGTAAGAAAACTTAACCAAAATTTCGTGTTAATATGGGAAGCAAACACGAGGTAGCACAGGCAGTTGGTCAATTTTTTCCCCCTTAGTTTTCTCTGTGTCAAACATATACAGTTTGGGTCGATGCAACGCAACATTTTGTTGAGCAACCAAGTCCTTTGTGTTCATCCGACACAAAAAAGTAACACAGAGTAACTCTGAATACGGAAATGTTTAACTGTGCACGAATTGAATCATTTTGATTCATGATTCCCACTTAAAACACGCAGAACTCGATTCTGGTAATACATTTTGCTGAAATAAATCCCAACTGATTGTGAGATATGATTCCAACGTTCTTCGATACGTAAATTTTTAACCTTCCGCACATCAAAAAAGAAAATTCTTCCCAGTGGCGATTCCACCAAGTTGGGAACACGGCCTATCATCCATTTAAACCCATTGAATGTATCAATTCTAGGCGAGACAGGTTGTCTCACCAATAGGATCTTTTATTTAACATATAAATTTAAGTCTGCAGAATATTGCTTCATCGACTCCAATATCCGTTTGTTGCCCCTTCATTGACATCTGAATAAACAGTGCGGAAGGAAGCATGCAACTTATCGAGCTCTTGCGTATGCTGTGGTATTACCTGAAATTGAAGGCGCTCCCCCATTTGATAGAACCTACCGTCCGACGGAATGTCTCTGTCCAGCATGTATAAGTTTTTTCACGCACTGGTTTGAACTTGCAATTGGCTTCACCGCGGAACATGTACTTGGGTAGTGAAAAAGGTTCCACTTGAAGCATTTCTATCCGCTTTTGTTGCCAAATCATTTCTCACTGTAAGGTATGCTTCATTTTTACATAAAAAATAAAAAGAGTCCCTAAAGAGCCGGGGTGGACCACTCGCTAAGATAGAGAATTAAACATCGATGGTGAAAGTTCAGAAAAGCTCAGGTATCTCGGAAAACACGATTTTCCAGGAGAGTAAAAAAAGACATCTTCAACAACACTTTCATGCAGCTAACTCAAAACTATCAAAAATCGACGCACTTCTGCACTTTCACCATCGACATTGTGGTCATTGAAAAAAAAATATCACTCAGGGGGCCGTTGGGTTAAGGGCTCGGGGTCCTACAGAACCCCATCTATTCCGGCCTTGTATAGAAAATCAAGAGTGAAATTTAAGGGGCAGCGGGGGTTTTATGCATACCTAATGTCGTCCCCAAAGTGAGCGGTCGTCATGTGTCTCTGGTATTCTGACCGGTCATATTTATTAAGAGACCCTCGTCAAGTTGAACAGATTTTCGGGCATCATTTTAGATGAATTTCGCAGTTTTCCCCCCTCCGCAACGAAAATTAAGGGGGGCAGCGGGCTATGAACCCCTCCGTTCATTCACTGGCCGCTTCTGCGGTTACATTGGCGAGAAATTGCACTCGGACTCGATGCTAATTCGGAGCTATTTTGGACTCTTCGTATTTTAATGAAATCATTCATTGAAGTAGATAATAGACCCAACCCCCTTCCCTGTAGAGGCTGTGGTGGCTCGGGGGAAAATGAAAATTCGGATGTCACAATCAGTGGTTTTTAGGACTTTTTTTAGAAGAGAAGCGGTCTGTCCAAGAGCCGCCGAAATCAAAGGCACAGACCCCCTAAATAAACTTTTAACTCCTATGACTTTTGACAGAGGGGTCCGATCGGCTTGCAGTTTCGCTAAAAATTTTCATTTTTAATGCTCTTTCTAACGACGTATCCTACAAATGAAAGTATGAGTCTATAACAGGCTCGGACTGGCCATAAGGCCAATCTGCCATTGGCAGATACGCCCCCTTGGCGCGCCAAAAACGCGCCCCTCTGACCGATAGCAAATTCAGAAGAGAAAAAAATTACGACCGAGAATATATGCGGCAAACTTAAATGAACAGAAGAAGAGAGAGTTAGGAGTGAAGAGAGGTGCTTTTACGCATAGTGGTGAACAGAGGTCTAAGATCTACTTCCTGAAGAAACACTTTTCTGTGAAATTGTCACCTTTTTGTTGACATACAGGCGCTTTATCATCTCCCTCCTTCATTCTTTATATGTAACTCCCGTAGAAGCGATAGCCGGTTCGATTTTTAGACATACGCACTCTGTATAGACCTCTTGAGAGACCTTTAAACATATTTCTTCCTTTTCAAAATGACTATTGATTCTGACATATCATAGCATATCTCGGGCAAAATTAACCTTACTTTATTTCGAAATTCAATAGTAAGAGACATCTACAGTTTAAACGCGATACAACTACTCTCGCAAGATGGATGTCCAAATTGCATATGAAAAATGTAAGACGCGATGGCGTGAGTCGTGAACTTGTAATGCTCTGCTCTATACTACTATAGTTTGAAGCACCATTACGAATAAGACAAACGCAAACAAGCACAATATGGAAATAAAGCGAGGGAAAGGATGATCGTTAACGACGGCGCAGAGATACATCTATTCGTACTCGATGGACGTCCGTGCTGCATCTGAAAAATTGAAGGCGCGATGACGCGAAGCGTGAGTTCTCAATGCCCTGCTGTATGCTGCCAATGAGGTGTCGCTCAGATTCGGGAGAAAAGTTAAAAAAGAGGCCCGAACACATCTCTCCTACTTTCGGCTGTGTTATTCACGTAGTGTTTGAAGCACCATTACGAATAAGACAAACGCAAACAAACGCAACATGGAAATAGAGCGAGGGAAAGGATGCGTGTTCATGACGGCGCAGAGATACAACTATTCGTACTTGATGGACGTCCGTGCTGCATCTGAAAAATTGAAG